TTACGCTAAATACAAGGTTGTTTTTATGATTTTGATTAAACCTCTATGATTCAACATAAGTAACACCTTCAATGATAGGTAGATTCCGGACATTTGCTTCAATTTCTGCTTTTAAAGTGTCATATCAGAACATTAGTTTTCTGAATTGATTGTCCGAGTCAGTGTCAACAATTCATAGTATTCTACTCAACTGCAGTTATATTAATATACTCAGATGAGTATACATGCATAAGGATCACTTAGGTATTTAGTAGATCCATCACAACCTGTGATGACAGCCTTCTTGTTGTCTGGCATAAATGTTTTCAACTTAATATAATCCTGGTCAGTTTCATGGAATTAAACCTTAATAATGCTTTCCTGCAGTTTAATCTTAATAGCAGATTTCTTAGCAGCAGTTTTCATTCCCATTATTTGCAATCAGTGTTCAATGAGATTAGATCAATACTATTCCCAAGCCAGTCCAAAACTTTAATAACAGATTTTGTCAGATAGGCCTTCATCTAAAGGGGAAGAAATAGGGAAAAAATACTTTTGTAATATGCATTAGGTGTGGAGGTGAAAACCTGCAAATTAGCCAACAAAATCATGCATGAATAAGTTAGGTCACACTTATTGATTCTGCTGTACAACAGGGTGTAGAGTCCTATTGAAAAATGCAATTTCTAGCTTCTTCAAAATGATCCCCAGAACTGGCTTTAAACATGCGTATAAGCCATAAGCTGATGCATTCACAGCTCCAGTAATAAATTTCAGGTGCCCAGTCCCTTTGCTGGATATATCCCTAAACCAATTGGCTCGCTGAGAATTTCACAGTAGCAATACGCAATCTGGATGATAAGCTTCACTTTTATGTCTTCAAACATAAAGCATGTCACCCAATTCCTATAGGTTGAAATTAGATTCATCTAAAATAATTGCTGTGTCCTACTGAGTCTGTCCATGAAAAATGCTCTTTTGCCCAAGAAATTCGACTTCGCATCATTTCTTTGTAAGTAAAGGCTCTTGGAGTGATATGTATGCAAATCGTATTCCACAAGGCATTTTTGGATATTTCATGCCGGACAGTCTTTCTCAGATTTAACTTTAAATAAACAGCACTGGCATCATGATGACAGAAAGACATCCATTTTAGATATCGATTGCCAGATTTTATAGCGACCCCCTTTCGGCCTGAACCAGCCTTTCTGTCAATATCAACAGTTTCATGTTTCAATTTAATCATTCTCAAAACTGACTGACAACCAGTCATTTTAGCCATTATGTGTGTTGAATAATCCTTCTTTAGCTAAAGCAACTGCCACACATTTTTTTCTCCTTGCGGCATTTGAACATACAGAACTTCTTGTTCCCAAATCTGTGATTTCTTTTCCCCAAAGCTGTAACATCTGCCTGATGATAAGAAATTCTTGTTGAATAAGTGCATCATCGTTGTTGTCAGTGCTTATTTTTCTGGTCTTGATAAAACTTACTTTCCTGAGGAAATTCACTGAATCAAATGTATAGCTTTTAGTGGTATGGTAAGAAATGTAATTGATTTCTTTTCTGAAAGTTTTGTTTAGCTTCCTTTTTTAACCACACTTTTCAAATGACTTTCATAATTTTTGGGGGGATATTTTAATATGTTCGTACCATTTTAGTTTAAAAAAGAAATACAGAAAGAGATACTGAAGCATTTAAAATTGAAATTCATTTGAGTTTTAGTTTTATTCTATCCATTTAATTTTGTGAGTCAGCACCTGTTGTATTAATTTAATTTAGGAAGAGAAGCAAATTATTTATATGATTTTTTATAATTCCAAGTTATTCTAAATGTTGATGGTTAATAAATTAATTTTTGAAGTGTTAGACTGTAATTTGAATTTTCAGATTGTAACTTTCAGTGTATTTACTTATTTATAAACACATGTAGACATTTTTTATGTTTTTGAAGTAATTTCTCATGAAGTTGAATTTATTTGATTCATTTTTTATTTTAGTTTTTGCAAGAGATGTCTGCAGCATGGCAGATGACCATTGATCGAGAAGTGGGGTTATTTTCAGAAGATCCTGTGCAGGTTGACCCATTGGCTGCATATGAAGGATGTGAACTTGCACCAAATGGGCCTTTTATAGCTCCCCATTCCTTATGGGTTAAAGTATGTTTGAGTTATTTTATTCATGAACTTAGCTGTGTTCTTTTTTCTTTTTCTTTTAAGTAATAAAGGCAGCAATATCTTGTGTGTTTTAAGCAATGTATATAAATGTGAAATTAAAAAAAAAAAATTTTTTTTTTTTTTTTGGTTTGTTTTGTTTATCTTAAAATTCAGTTTTTATCTGAGCGACTTGAAGTTGCAAAATACTGCAATATGAATGAAGTAGAAATCTTTGCCAACATATTACATCGTTCTCTACCTGTTGCTGTTGGAAGTTCTCATCATAACAGACGTCATATAGCATCCCTGGGCACTCGTTTTAGGTAATAATTTTTTTAAATATGTATATTTTATTTTGTCCAAAAAAATAATCTAAACTACTAAATACCTAAGTGATCTAAATAAATAATTGTTAGGAAGATAGGATTTTGATGAAAATTGACTCTAAAAATATTGTATGGGAAATTCATTTTATATTAATTTCCATTCGTATGACTGTGTACTCTGACTTTCTTAGGCTTCTTGCTTGTGGTTTGTCCTTGTTACAAGGTGATGTTCTTCCCCGTGCTGTGTGCAAGAATGTTTTAAGAGAAAGAATTTACACAGCTGCTTTGGACCATTTCTGGTAATTTTTATTTATATTTAGACAGGAATAAGGACAATTTAGTTAAGACATATCATGTATCATTTAACCAACTGATAAACTTATCCAGAAATAAAATTATTTTCTTTCACGCTTTCTCATAAAGTCTATTTCTCAAGCAAAAATGTATAAAATTAATATTAGTAAAAATACTAATTTCAAATATTTTTTTGGCTTCTTTGTTAATTATTTAAATATATTAAATTTATCAAGGAGCTTGAAACATTTTTCTTTTTCAATACTTTATTAAGATTTTGCATGCATATATATATATATGTATGTATGTATGTATATATATATTTCTTTCGTACTTGTATAATGAGTTGTTACAAAATTTTACTTGCCATTTAAAACAGGATACATTATTAAAATTAAATTAAATTATTATCATTATATTAAAATAATAAAAATTTTGCTTAGTTAATTATATTCTTGAAGCAGCATTGGATTACATCTCCAGAAATATAAGTGATTGAATGATAAGGCAACTTTCATCAGCCATTCTTATACAGAATAATTTTCACTAAGATGTCTTTATATAACCAGCCTTTGAATCTAAATAGCTCTCTGGAGATAAGATGAGAATCTCAAAATCATTGCTTCATCGTTTTCACTGTAATTTTTGTAAAACCTTTAAATTCCACAATATAGTTAAATTTCTTTGTAAAAACTGATCATAATTAAGTACTTTTTGTAAATTTTGGGAAAAAAAAAAAAATACAAAACTCCAAGACCATAGTAAAGACTATTATATATATTTTTTTCTTTATTGCAATATTCTATAATATTTTTTTCCCTTTGTAAATATATTTTATAGTGGTCCATCCATGTGTCCAACTCAGAAAGGATCAGAATTAAGAGATGACATTACTACGCTGATCAAGTTTTGGAATAGTTTACATTCTGACAAGAAATATCTACGAGCAACTATGATGGGAGGTATAAAATTTGTTTAATATATTTTGTACTATACACATAGACTCCAACTACTACGGATTCTCCGTAGTTTCTACGGAAATTCATGAAAAACTACGAGCTAAAAGTATGGAAAAAACTACGGATTTTACAGAAACAAGAGCAGGAGAACCAGTACGCAAAACGGAACCAACATTCATCCGATGAGGCTGAATACTCGTGTTATCATATATCACGGTTGAGTGGTTCTAGTTTTGAAGAATTAGCCAATCGTAGATCAGTAACTCCAACCGTAAACGACTATCAATAGTTCCCCCGCAACATCTGTCTCATAGTTTCCATGCTGCTGCATGTTTAGGCTGCATTCTGCTCCATTGTTTAGATTATGGTGAGATCTTAGCATGTCTTGTGAACTGTGAATCAGGTGGAAGTTTTTTGTTAATAATGTTACCTCAAACGAAGACGCCAAAATTATCAAAGCAAAAATTTAAAGATTCATATTCTTCAGAGTTTCCATGCATTAAAGCATCCGGAATTTCTGTGAATCACACACACTGCAGTATGCAACAAAGACTTCTCAGTTGCACATGGCGAAAAAGATGACTGTAAATGACATGTTTGTTCTCAAAAGCATATAGAACTTGGCACTGTAAAATCTAAAGAAATAACAATTCTATAAAGATGATGAAACAGATCTATAAAGCCGAGCTATTTTGTTGTTTTTTAATTGAACATAATCACCGCTTTCTGTTTAATCATCCAAAGAGCTTTTCAAGCAATTTTTCCGGCTCTGCCTAGCAAAAAAATTTAGCTGAGGCATACCAAACGCGCTATTGTGAAAAGTGCAGAAAATATGTGCTGATATATAAATCATGTGCATACATCACCTTCTCGAGTCTATGAAGTAATGATAACATGATAACAACTGTACCGTGGTTATAACATACTAGTAAGAAAAGGATGATATTACTTCATTATTTCTATTTTAGATGCATAATAACAGGAGAAGTATTTTAATTGTATAAATGAAAACTTTAAAACAAAGGTTTAAATGGAAAAATTGCTTATCATTTTCTTCAGAGATGGTAATTGATTGGAAAGTTAAGGTGTAGATCATTTATCAAAATGAATACCAGTAGAATCACCCGAGGTTGTCCGTGCCACTTCTTGCATATAGCTCAAAAAAGCTACTGAAAATAATTGGTTAAATGAAATTGATAATAGATATATATTTTTACTTAGAAAAGTCGAAACGAAGCATAGTTCAAAGTTGCTCAACAAATTTGACAGAATGCATCTCTAAATTTTGAATTTGCAGTACAGATGTTGCTCTTTAGATCTATAACAAGGATTTTGGAATCAGTGGGATGCTTGATAATTTTTTGGAGATAAACTAATCACAGTAAAGAGAAAGAGATTGCAAACATAAAAAAATTACAGCACGACCACCAATTGTACGTGTTATTTTTGAAAAATACTTTGCCTTTGTTATAACAGGAAATATTATTTGCAAAAAAAGCTCCTTATATACATAAATTGAAAGAGAACTTTTTGAACTTTTAAATTATTTGTTAGAATTCGTAAAAACCATCAGTAATTTCTAAAGAAATAAGATGTTACTTTAACTTCTATTCCATTTCAGAAATAGTAACAAAAAAAATAAAATGTAGTGATTGGTGGGAAACAAGACTATATTTAAAAAATGCCAAGTTAATGGAAAGTAAGTGAAATCATTTTTCAATTCTGTGCGAGTTTTGGAACCGCATGTCATATATAATGATAAATTTCCACTGAGTGATCCATTTCTAAACATCTGAGTTGCTGACAATCAACTTGAGAACTGAAGTCTCATTTTCATTGTTTTTACTTGATGAATACTTTTTCATCCTTATGATAAAAATGTCTTAATCAAGTAGAAATTGAATTTCCAGTATAAGTAGATGATTTGAAAAAATTGTGATTGCGATTGATTAGCATGGGGAAATTGCAAAAAAAAATATGAATGGGTATTAAATCATCGCTGTAATCTGCTGTCTAAATCCTCATTCAAAGCAGCTGCGAAAGAGTTTTTTCTATTGTTAAAAAAAATCGACGGAATTCGACCAATTAAGTCTTAAAACTCTTGAAGCATTTTGATTGAAAAATAAATAGCAGCAATGAAGAACTGTGATAAAAAAACATTCTCAAAATCAACGTAAGCGTGCTAAGCATGCTACATAAACTTTGCATTCATAATTAGCGTATTTTGTTTAATACTATATGTATCATTCTGTTATTTAAATTTATTTCCTGTAGAAATCATATCCAGTAAAGATATTTTTATAGCTTCTGATTTTTTTCTATGATTAGTAGTGATTTGAAGTACTTTTTTAGTGAATGCTGAAGGAGTTAAAAGAAAATTCTAATTAAATGTGCATATAATTTACAAGGTATATTTTTAATTATTCAGTTTATATATATATGGATTTTAAATGTAATAAAATTGATTACAATTAATTATAATTTAAAATTAAGAATGGTTAATTACAATACGCTACGCGCACATTTTCAAAGTTTAAAAGTCGTTCGCGTGTTGACTACTGACAAGATTTGCTGAAGGTTGGAGTCTATGTATACAGAGAAGTTATTTAAATTATTGAATAATGTGGAAGGTATTTTTCTTTACATTGGGGAACAAGTTACATACAGGGTGGTTCAAAACTATATGTCAAAAATGTAAAGGCAGGTAGAGGGGGCCCAAATAAGCATATTTCATATAGGAATGTGTGTGTGGTAATGGTGCATTGAGACAGCAGAGAGGGGTAATGAGTGTGGTGTATAAAAATACTGTACTAGCTGGATTCTTCATTTCTTACGCAAATCATGAGTAAAATGCATTGTTACACCAATGCAGAGCTTGTCAACACACATTCCATGTATGGGGCTGCACATTGAAATGGATTAGCTGCGCAGTGGTTGTACAGGAAGCGATTCCAGGATGGGAATCAGCTGGATCGTAGAGCATTTGAGCATCTTCATTGGGAGTTAAGCACGAGCAGATCGTTTTATGCATCCAGAAATGTCAGAAATCACTTGGACGCTGTCTACGGCCAGCATTGGATAGGACAGGGCAGGCCAGTTCCCTTGTCTCCGCATTCTCCTGATTTGCTTAAATTTCTTCTTTTGGGGTCATAGTAAAAGTCTCATGTACAAGAGTCCCGTCTTATCTACAGAAGTTCTTGTTGCCTGCTTATCAGTTGCTGCTGGACATGTGCTGGACATTTTCTAATGTAAGTCGATCCATGCACTGCTGCTGTGAATCTTGTGTCACTGTTGGTGGCTGCTCTTTCGGGCACCTATTTTAAACTGTTAATAATTTCTTTTTCTTTTGTCTTTACTTGTGATTTTGATTTCCTATGATTCATATTGCTTTATGTGCTAGCGCTTTAATGTGGCATTATCGCATACACATTCCTGTATGAAATCTGTTTATTCAGGTGAATGTAAATGCATGCATAAAAAAATCTTTGTGTATAAAGAGATGTCATTTTCATTGATTCCAAAGTGATTTGTTTAATGATAGTAGTCAAATGTAAATTACTTTAAATTTAGAACTCCTTTTGATAGGTGGTGTATGACAAGACATTTTTAATTAAAATTTGTAAGTCTTCTATTCGTTTTTTATCACACATGAAAAAACTTATTGTTTATAAACCATGGAATTTTAAATAATAAAACACGAGTTTAGTCTATATTCTGCATTGCAGTACATATGTGTTCATTTATAACTTTTTTTAATGCATTTTCAGTAGTATATAATTTTTTTTTTTTTTTTTTTTAAATATTTACTTTTCAAGATGGGAAATTTTTGAAATAAAAATAAGTTATGGTTATCTAATTGCGCCGATTTCTCAAGTCTATTGGTGTAGATCAGCGTTTTACACTGTGGGTCGGTTAACTGGGGGAGCGCGAGACCTGCAGCAGGGGGTTGCCAACAATTTAGCAGTTTTGATATTTCTTGTTATAATAATTTTGAAATTACCAAATATTTTTACACAATGTATCTGAAACTAGATAAATATAAGAACAGACAAAGAAAAAAGGAAAATGTTTTGATGCATTTCTATATAAAAAGATGCATTTTACTTACTTTGCATGTGACACTATCATTTCGTTTGTTACTTATTTAAAATTTCACGTTGTGATATGTCTAAAATATAAATTAAGTTAATACCTAAACTGCAATAGTGTATTACATTGCTAATGAAAAGATGACAGTTTCCATGGCATGTGTCGGATTTACGCAAGCTTATGGGTCCCACAAAAATGTCATAAATATAGGGATTCTGAGGTGCAAAGTCTCAGTTTAAAAAGGGGACTGAAAAAGTAAAGAACCTTGGTGTAGATTAGTCACTAGTATGTTTGAAGATTTCTGAGAATTATATAAGTATAATTTTCTCTCTTTAATTTACGGTCATCTAACCCAATCTTTCTTTAAGTTTGAGTTCTGAGTGTAGTAGCATGAATTATCCCGACACGAGCACCACCAACGGCTGATGAATACAATGCCTTTAAGCATATTGTCAACTATATCCGTCTTTTTGGTTTCGATCTGGTCTCGGAAAATATTCTGATAGTTTTATCAAAGGTTATTGAAAAAAGAAATTTAATATAGGCTTCTGGTAAGGTTTCCAATATATATTTTTTCTTCTTCTTTTTTTTTTTTTTAATCAATCTGTTCCACAGAATTCGATTTGCACATTTTGAAGTTTCCTGACCTTGAGTATTAGGTCTAAAGGTTTAATGAACTTTTCACTTAAAAATGAGTAAAAAGTAAAATATTTTGTCACTTTATAAAAACGTTAATTTTATTATTTTCAATATTTCAATTTAAATCATAATTGCTGTTTTTTTAATGATATTTTTATGTTTTAGAGTTCCATTTAGAATATACAAATTTATTAACTGCTGTTTCTTTGATGGCAATGTATTTCATACATTGGTACATTTTCAGGAAATCTGGCCATGCTTATGATCATCTTAGCTAAAATAACATATTTTAATTTTTTTATTTTGAGATAAAGTACCTTTTAATTTTTCAACTGTTGTTTTTCTGCTGGCAAATGTATCTTATATTATTGGTACATATGCAGAAAGTCAGCCCATGCATGTGATCTTCTTGGTTAAAATAACTTATTTAAGTTTTTATATATAATCTGGGTGGGTGGAAATCTTGAGTATCTTCATTCTATGGATTGATTTTTCTAGTCTAGAGTGCTATGGCAATTTATGTTTCTCCGTTTGTGACAATTTAAATCAAGAGTTCATTGCTTTTCTGATGGCATCAAGTGAAGAAGTTTTGAAGAAACACCTCTTTTATCTTCTTTTCTTCAGAAAGCATATTAAAATCCAGAAAAAAAAGAAAAAAAAACATATTCAATTAACTTTTTTATTTTTGATGCAGAATTCTTGACATATATGAAAGTGACAAAATTATGAAGTACTGATATTTACAAAAATTTTTCTCAACAACCATTTTCTTTCATATAAGACAGTCTCTGCTACTACACTTTTCATTATGAATTTTATCATGACTTTCATCAAATTCTACCTCTCATCATTGAATGAATGGCATATTAATATTTTTACCAGGAATAATCGATCGAACATTTGAGGGAATTTCCAAGCTTCTAAAGCATTTTAATATCTTTAAAGAACTATCTTCTTAACTTATGAAACAGCTTTTGAAGGATCAGATGTATTCTTTGGTAATTCTTCCAGTTTTATTGCCTTAAATGCTATTTGTTATATTTAATTATGTTTATTAACGTTGAAGCTGCTAGAACTATTGCAGAATGGTTTTGTTTCTTGGAGTTAAAAGCAAAGATTTGTGTTGGATTTCCTCAAATGCAGTTGAATATTTTCCTGAATTCAGCATCATTCTAGGGTAGAATTTTAAATACTTTTAAAAGTTATATTATCTATTAGAAATAAAGAAATTTATATCAACTTGAACAATATTTAGAGATTTAATGTATTTTAATTTTTAATTAGGTTGCCAAAAATACACACAAATATAATTTGTACCACAAAAGAAACAGAGAAAAAAAAACACACGCACAAAGAAAAAAATATTTTCATACATTACTTTTTTAATAAATGAATTTTTAAAAATAAGTATGAAATTATTCACAGTCATAGGTAATATAATAATTTCTTTTTCACTTTTTATCTTATGTCTCTTTTATATGGCTGTAAAATATTTTTTTTCTTTGAAAATTGTACAGTTGAGAAAAAGTTGAAAACTTTCGTAGAAATGGTGTTAAGCTGGAATATATTAATTCCTCTGTACTGCATAGTGTAAACCCAAGTCTGGTATTTTTCTGACGCTTGTCTGTTGAATTTTTAGCCATTCTGAGTGAGAAAAACGAAGGTCTTATTAAATCTGTGATTCGACTTTTTGAAAAATCTGAGAGAGTGAGAGTGGGAGTTACTTATCTTTGTCTGAAATATGCGCTGTATTGGGCTCAGATTTGGTAACTGAGTGACATATATTCAGAGCCTTGATTTTTCAAAAAATTAACTGATAAGAATAGTTAATAAGACTGATTATTGAAAGCATAATCTGTAACTCCTTTTGTATGCTATCAAAATATTAATCAAAGATTTTAATGCAATACTTGTCTGGTTTTATGATTAAACTTGTGGGATCAGCAAAAGCCATCCAAAGAAATCTTTTCAAATTATGAGAATACTGTCCCTGAATTCTATGTTATCAAAAAATCTTAGACTGGCAGTTATCTGATTTGCTTCCTCATTAAATTCTAATGTGACATGAATCGTATCATACAGAATCTGAACTTTTAGGTGCATCATACTTTAACAGGCTTCATTGCTATTTGCTATGATGATATAGCCTATAGTCTAATTTAATGGGGGTTTTGTTGTGTGTCAAATAAGGATAGATCAAGCATATCTTCCTGCATGAAGCTTATGCATATAGGCATATGAGGCCTCTCATGGTGATAATTACTTGTTTTAGTGTGGTTCTTACAGAAAGGCATTTTGTGTAGAAGCTATGGCAATGTTTTCTTTACTGTAAATCATTAATCACTGAAATTCTTTCACCAACTGTATGTGATATTGTGTAATTGTCTTAGCAACTGTTTGAGTCCATTTTTTTCTGTCTTATACTCGGTATCTGCTCTAAATGTTAATGGATCTGCCACAAATTTCTGCATAGCCTAATTAAGAATTCCTTTCCTGATTAGGCTATGCATAGTGTTAATACTGAAGATTCATTTTGTGCAATTAGAATGTAAAATATATGTAAAGCAAGCTACATTTACTTTATGAAATAATTTTGGAGCTACTTTTAATACTTATCAAGCTACGTTAATTTTATGGAATAATTCTGGATGGCAATATGTAATATAATACTTATCATTCATAATTGCATCAGTTATTGGGTGAAATTTCAGTGTGCCATTTGTGTTGCAGATGGGCTTCAAGTTCATGGGGCTATTAGAATAAAAACTTGCAAAGTAAGCAATTCCTGTTTTTTCCCCCTCCATATATTTTGAAATTTTATGTATGATTCTTTTTTCAGGCAGTCGACATTGAATTTTTAATAACTTGGCATAATCCAATGTCTTTGCAAGATGATCATTTTGATGGAGAAGATGTCATATCAACTTGGCGATCTCAGCCAATGACGGAAAAAACTTGGAGAGATACTGCTCGATTAGCCTGGGAAATCTCTCCAATTCTTGCTGTATACTTACCCTGCAGGTCTGTTAAGATGAAGTTTTTATTTTTTTTTTTAATTATTCTAGTTTAAATAAAATATATGTTATTTTCATTAATTAGTACATTTCATTAAATTTTTACATTTATACATTTATTATTTTAAGGTATTTTACATTTACTATATTAAGCTACATTGTCTTACTTGACTGTTTAATTTTATTAAAACATTTGCTTTATATATTTTTTTTTATTTATTTTCTATTTATTATTATTATTTTTTTGATTATGCATCATTTTTAGGATATTATGACCAGCTGTATTACTGTGTTTGTAAAATATTAGTATTTTGTAGTAGCTTGATAGTAATGATTTATCTAACTGGATTTAGATATTTGTATAGGAAGAAAGACACTCAATGTTTTTAGGAGCATCATAAAGATCTTAATTCTGATGTCTCACTCCTGAATATTAGGCAGGAAAGTTCAAAAGAAAGATTTTTTTTTTTAAAGTGTAATTGTTACCATTTGAAACAACCATTATTTTTGGCAGCTGGAGAATGTGCTTGAGTTAATTTATCTTAAAGAGCATATTGATAGATGGTAGAATCTATAAGAATTGAAACCACAGTAAGAGCAAAAGATGATCTCAAAAAGTTCCTGTTTGATGATCATGATAACTATGAAACTTATTTATAAAATGGGTTAAACCTAATTTGCAGTACAAGTTTGTAAGGAACTTTCTGCCTCTGTAGTATGTGCATTTCTGTCGTAATTGAAAGCATGTCTATTTAGCAATTTGGAGGTCTTGAACTCTATTTCCTGTGAAGGCATTGCTGGTTTTTCATGTTTCCTGCTTCAAAATATGTCTCTGGCCTGAAATATGGTGGATGATAATTCATCAACATCTGGATTTGGTTAATGTGTCTTGTTCTCCCTAGTTGTTCTTTAAGTTTCCTTTTTTACTGTGTGTCTTTGTGGGGTAACTGGAAACATCTTCAGTTAATGATTGGGAGGTATGGAGTTCAATTTTTGAGAGGAGCATTGATTTTTTATGTTTCATTCTCTGAAATAAACCTCATGACTCCACAAGTTCTTTTTAAAATAAAGCGAGCAAATATTTAGTAAGCTTTGATAAATTCCAACAGCATTAGGCTTGTATATTTTCACAAAGATAAGATTTGTATGTTTATACAAAGATAAGGTACGTGTGTTTTCACAAAAGGTATGTTATGTTCTTAAACATCTGAGATATGTATGTAACACAAAAGTTATCTTTACCCTCTAATGTGTTAAAGTGTCATTTGTTTTAGGTTCAAGAACTCGGAGGCTTTAACTGAAGAAGTGGCCAGACTAGTTCAGTTGAATCCTGCAGCAGTCTCACACATTCCAGAAGCACTGCAATATCTGACTACCTCTGAAAGCATTATAAATGATTCAGCTGAAGTAATTTTATTTCACTATATTATAAGTGTATATGTATTCATAACATGATACATTTGTTTAGGAAATTGATCAGATGATTGATCACAATATAATGTTCTAAATTATGATGGTAGCCATAGTAAGGAACTGGCATATATTTACAGATAAATTACTTGTCGTGTCTATTCCTAAGCAAATCGAAAGTAGCATCTTTAAAAGAGTGAATAAATAGAGTATAAGAAATATTTACCTCATTTAATACTTTTTTATCCAGTTGTAGCTTGAATGCTGATTTTATGGTATGAGAGCAATTTGGAAACTAACCTCCATTGTGGCATGAGACTAGCATTAGTGGGCAGAGAACAATTCAATCAATCAAGCAATCTATAATTCAGTAAGCTTCCTGCTATCCCAGTGAGAGTGTCATACTGATGCACGTATGCTGATTATATTGTCACAAAATGCACTCTGCCATTGAAAATCCGACCAAATGTGAGGTTGAAAGAATAATACGATTTCTTTGGGCAAAAACACTGTCTGCGGCAGACATTCATCATGAACTGTATGGTGTATACAACCCAAACATTATGAGTGAAGGTGTAGTGTGTCAGTGGATGAGATTTTTCAAAGAAGGAAGAAAAAAAACTTTCATGATAAATCAAGGAGTGAGAAGTTGTCTATTCCATTCAATGTAGTAAGTGATGATCTAACTCAGCTGAGAAAAGCCCATTACTAATGGAATCTTGCTTGTCAAATTCATGAAATGTGATATGAGAGGGGGGCAGATTTTTCCAGGGTATGGGCTATTTCTAATTTTTTTCAAGATGTTGCAGTCCACCCAGTGGCATAGGTGTGATGAGCTAAAAAAAGGTCTACAATATTTATTGCTAAAAAAAGCTTATAACTTAATAAAAATTGATATATATTATTATAACTTAATAAAAATTGAGCTAAAAAAGGTCTACAATATTTATTATAACTTAGTAATAAATATGGAATATGTACTTAACCTATCTAACCCTACCTAAAAAAACTTACTCTTTTAAAACCATGTTTAAAGGAAAATGCAAGATACAAGCATAATAATAATAGCCACAAATATAATAATTTCAAATGATTCATTTCTTATCAAACAATTCAAAATACGTTAAAAAATAAAGCATTTTCATCCAAATTTAGTTCTTGTAGTTATAGTTAGTAGAAGACTTAGTCCGTATACTGTCTGCCAATCTTGAATATATCGGTATATAATTATTAACTGCTAATTTTGCACTGGATTCTAAGTGGTTATCTGTGAGATGGGAACTATATGTTGTCTTAATTATATTCATTGTTGAAAATGCAGATTCACACAGGTAGGTAGAGCCAAAAAACGATGTTAAATGAAATGCAACTGTTTTAATTTAGGGTACTTTACTTCGTCCATTAGATTCCAAAACTTATTATTAGGTTAAACTTATTATTATTATTATCGTGTTACTATTTGCTTCTAAAATTTTGTCATTTTGAAGGAGAAAAAACTTCATTTTCCTCAAGAGATAAAGAGAATATATAATTTATATTTTCAGTTATCGTGCACTTCCAATGAAGGTATATGTGTCACATTCATCAAATCATTTATTTAAGTAAACACAGTCACACGATGGGAAACTTCAGACTGCTGTAATTGACAGATTGCATTCGTAGTCAGCTCAGTTTTATGCAGAAGCTCAGTTTCAGCTGTACCTTTCAAATGTAAATACAAATTTCGTTGAATATGTACGGGTTTTCTATTTACAGCTAAATGGAGGTTTACTTTTCAAATTGCCCTGGTACCTTATATTAAAAATGTAGTTCTAAGGTTAAGATTTTAATTTGAATTTTTGCTTTTGTATAATTATATATTCAAAGCTAGAACAAAGTGTAAATTATGATCTTTCTTCCCTTTTTCCCAAGAATTTGTGCTTTGCATTACCTAGAATAAAATTTCCTGCTTGCAAGAAATGAAGATAAATTATCATAAGAAATTCATATTCCAGGAAATTTTATGTGTGAAATTTTTTTATAAAAACCTGTTAATGAATCATGGAAAAGTAGGTTTTTCTTTGAGAATAAAATTTTTTATATTTTTATTTGAGGGGCAATGAGTGGAGTTATAAATAATTCTTTCTTTGAAATTAAAATAATTCTACATCTGGATTATTGTTCATATTATTTAGTATTGTCTTATTTCTTTTTTCTAAAATTGCTTTATGAATTTTTTTCCCTATTCATCTGTAATAGGTAGTATAATTTCTATTGCTGTTATTATTGGTAATCTTTCAAGTGTGAAATATAATAGCAAATAACAAGGCATTTAATTTTCTTTTTCTTAAAGGCTTATTTTCTGAGTTCTGTAAATCAGTTGGTAGCTAATCTAGTTTATTAATTTAAAAAAATAGGCACTTGAACCTAAAGTTATAAATATAATATTGAATTGAAAATTAAGATAATAGTAATGAATCCCTTTGTAATAAATTTCATTCTAACTCATTCACAACCTTAAACTAGCAAAATTTGACTTAAAAAATAGGCAATAATTCAAGGCCATTCATCTTATAATAGATATAATAGATGCATATCGAGAACCTTTTAGAAAATCTTGATTTAGGACATGAATTTGTATGTTTTATACTTTTGAGCATGGGAAGTTTAAATTTGCATCTGCAGAAAATATTCAAAATTATATTTAATATTATTCTTTGAGGATACTGCAGAAATTCCTCCATTGATTTCAGTATAAAATTTGTTGCTGTATATTTATTTTTATTTATTTTTTGATTGATTGGTTTATAATCCAAAATTACTAGTATTTTAAGCGATTATTCCTTTATAATTTCTTTTATTTAGGAATTAAGCTTTAACTGAATTGTAATAAAAAAATGGTTCAGCTAAAAAAGCATTTGCCTTTGTATTATATAATTTAATTTAAAGCTTACATTATTCCATAGCTGACACATATGTTAACATGGGCTACAGTATCTCCAGTGAAAGCACTAGCCTATTTTTCACGGCAGTATCCACGCCATCCTGTAACTGCACAATATGCTGTGCGTGTTTTATCATCTTTTCCCCCTGTGAGTATTAATTTTATTTGATGTTTATATTTAGTTTTTTAACATCGGATCTTGTAATTGCATGAAACTAAGCAGTGTTCTGTAGCAGTATTTCTTAATATTTTTTTTAAGTGGAACCTTTTATAATGTCCCCATTTATCATGTAACGCTTGGTTTGCTTCAATAGTATGGTTTTATTGTAACATTGTTTAAACAAATTATTTTGCAAACAAAAATGACAATTATTTCAAATAATATTAATTGCTTCAAAAAGTAATATCAAAATTTATCCAAAAAATTCTTAAAATACTGTATACAGTTGTAATGAAATGAGTAGTACTGCTTTTTATCATCACAAATGTACTTAATATTATTACGAATTTTATACATAAGATAATTTTAGTATAATTATATGCAAAATTTTTATATTTCTTTTGTATAATATAGCTTGGAAATGTAAAGGAGAGATTTTCTGTAAAAGTAAGAATACAGGGGCAACATTGAGTAAATGGCTATCTCGCTAATTTGGCGAGATATCGCCAAGCTTGCAATGATTTTTGGCAACTAATTTTTGTCTCCAAATTTAGCAAGAAATGACCTAAACTCACTAAACTTGGCAACATTTTGGTCCTTCCCCTATATCACTGCAATAAATATTGTAATTAAATAATTGTAATTGTTTCATATGTAACTGTATTTGGCCCTCATATGCCTGTGAGTAATTTCAAGAAGCAGAAAGGACTAGAAATATCTCAGGGGCCAAATGAAAAGCCTGGAGAGAGCATCTGCCTTCAGTATTTGTTGTAGTTGTTAGCTGAGAGTGACTTTGGCGAGCTCTGCCTTTTAGATGCACTTTGCATTCTGTTGTGTTCAATATTCCTAGTAGTTTGAAGTGTAACTACTGATTGTGCTATGAGATACTGTGAAGAACTGTACCAGTAAAGTTTCCGAACTTTGAAATATTTCTTTTGATAATAAAATTGATAAAATAAATTTTATTATCAAAAGAAATATTTACAAGTTTTTTTAATAAAATGAATTTTAAATGATAAATAAAATGGTAAAAAAAAAAATCGATAAAATAAATTTTATTTACCTATCGTTGGACCTGTGTGCATTAAATCTATTACGAACCCATAGGCATGCAACAATATTAAGCTTTATAGATAAAAGATGAATTTTCATGTCAGGTTCTGCATCAAGTCTGTTGCGGTATGTACAAGTTCGGCTATTTAAATTCAAAATTGCGCGAATTCCATTAACAGCATTAATTAAAATTTGTCTTGAAACGATGAACATATCGTTTAAATAAAAGTTCCGTATTCTTCCGTTGGCATGGTCGAAGATGTGCATTGACAATAAATGGATTTTTAATCTACAATTCATTTTGATATTTAATCTGCTGTTCATTTTGAAAATGCTAATTAAAAACTTCATTCAAACCAGCTCGGCTACTGTAAAATACCTAAAATTGTCTCAACTACACTGTCAGAACCCGTGATGTTGTGCTGTTGGATTTACATTGACTATCTAAATTAAATGAGAGTTAGTTCTTATTTTATTTTTCTAAATTAGTACATGCATTACGTTTTATTGCTTTATTTTAAGTTACTTTTTTTAATGTTATGAAAGAAAAAGCACATAAGTTTCACATAACCCTTGAGTGATCTTCATGGAACCCCAGGGTTCTGTGGAACACAGTTTAAGAGACACTTCTGTAGACATGAAATCGTTTGAAGTTCTGTCGTAATTATTTATATTTCAGTTAGTGATACATAGTCATTTTTTGTATGGTTAAAGCAAACTCTTGTAATATACAGATTGCATTTATTTTATCAGTGCAACAGTGTTCTTTATTTTAAAGTATTATGTGTAACTGTGTGTATATACAATATAGTATTCATATATAATTTAATGTATTTTTAAAGCTTTAATTATGCTTTTAAAGCATGTTTTAATACACATTATTTAACTTCATATTAATACCTGCACATTTTAATACATCTGTCTTTGACTGCTCACTTTTTACTTCCTTGTACGAAGTAAAAAGGAAGTATTGTAATCGCAAAAAGTTTCAGGCAACATATTTTAACAAAAATATCCATTTTGACCACTATTGAATGCAATTTAACGATATTTTTGCGTGATATCTGTACGTAAGGACAGAATCAAAGACTCGTTTTCCTCCAAAAAAAATTATAAAACTGCTTTAAAATTAATTGTGAAGAGAATTTTTCATGGCTTCTGTACGAACGTATGTATCTCGCATAACTCAAAAATGAGTAGCCTCCGAACGTTGAAATTTTGTATATAGGAGTGCTATAACATGTAGATGTGCACCTCGTATTTTGGTTGCAAGCAGCCGCACCAAACATATATAAATATATTTATATATAAGTAGTGGGGGAGTTGATGCTAAATAACAATTCCAACGTTGTTTTCCACACCACAGAACATTTAATAAAAATAATCAGAAGAGGTACAAATTAGATTAAATACAAGTGCCGTTTGATACAAACAGGATTCTGCATAGCTTTTGCCAGTCTTATCACTTAACCGATTAGTGCCTACTCGCACTTGCTGATGTATTATACAGTCAATTTACCACCTTTGCGTGGAAAACTACAGTTCCTTATTCTACACCTTCACATGTAGACAGACATCTCACCACCTTCGCGTGGGATAGCAGAAGAAAGTCTCTCTGTCATACTCCTCTTTCACCTCGCTGCTGGCGCATCGGTGAGGCTCTCTGGTGGTTGTGTCGCACTTACAGATACTACAGCTTGTCTGTCCTGACACTTTTCCGTCCTCGAAATCACGGATCAGCAACACTGGAACATCAAGGCAGCACCTGAAAATAAATTTAGAAAAAAAAAAAAAAAAAAGAAAGAAAGAAAAGAAAAGGAAAGAAACAAAAAGAAAGAAGTGCGGAAGAACCACACACAGTTCTATATAGTAGAAGTCCACTGCTTCATGAGATCAGCTGCTGTAGTGGTACATCCAGGACCTTCATGCTGTCCCACTTATTCCACCTGGTAACGATCTTTGCCTTTCCTCGCTGTTATACGATATGGACCGAAGAACTTTGGCCTTAACTTTAGTCCACCTCCATACTGCGTTTTTTGTATGGCAACTAAGTCGTTCACATTATATACTTGTGCCTCTTTTCTCTTCTTGTTGTATGTTTTTCTATTCTCTTCCTGAATTTTTAGAATGTTTTTCCTTGCTTCCTTTCTCATATCTTCTCGATCTTTCATCATGATATTTCTTTCTTCTTTTTCAAGAATTTCCATAATCTTTAAGTCCTCTTCGATTTCTCATTTTTAACACCAGTGAGGAAGCTCAAATGGAGAACTCTTTGTGCTTCTGCTCTTAAGTACTGTTTAAGATCCTTTGTACATCTCCAACATATTTGTACCACTTGGTTGGAACATCTATGGATAATTTGGATAGGACTGGAATCAGAGTGAGATGAATCCTTACCACTTGTCCATTTACTCTAGGAACGCTGGTAGTTGTGAATATGTGCTGGATCTTCTCTTGACTACAGTAATCTTCAAAGTCTTTAGAGGTAAACGCCGTACCTTTATTGCTTATAATTCTCAAAGGATTGCCGAAAGTTGATTGTTGCAGTTTCAGCCTCTGCAATGCCTCTTGAGTTGATGTAGACTTTACTGGATAGAGCCACACGAACTTTGTGAATACATCAACCACAGTTAAGATGTGATTGTAGTTCTTATTTGTCGAAGGTAATGGTCCTATAAAATCAATATGAAAAGTGCTCAAAGGAATTACTATCTTTTGGTATGGGATTCAGCAATCCTTCGCCCTTACCTCGTTTTCTGTTCATAAAATACATTCTACACAATTTGAAATAAATTGTTCAATTTGTTTTCTAAGGTTAGGAATATAAAAGTTGGTTTTTAGCAGATCTTCTGTTTTAGACACTGCAAAATGTCCCAAATGGATACTACGTATGATTTCTAGTACTAATGCTTCGGGTAACACAAGTAATTCACGACCACTGTCGAACTTGTATAATACTCCATTTTTCACTAGAAAATCTTTCTTTAGTCCTTGCTCGACTAAGGATTTTAACAACTGGAGACGCTCATCATTTCCTTTGCGCAGCTGCAATTTTGGCTGTAACTTCTTCCCTGAGAATATGTAACCATCATGACAGCGTTTCTACTTAATGAATCCTACATGCTTCATTTGTTGCCCAGATTCTGTGAACAATTTCATAGTCAAATTTCTTCTAGAAGTAACGCCCATCTTCGCCACTTTAGGAGTTAAATTCTTTCTTGAACATAGTCTTCTGGAAAGTGCATCGCAATCCTGTAATTATTCCTGACCTTAGATCTTAAAAGGTAATTCCTGAATTTCTTTAGAGCTTCTACTATAGCTAAAACTTCAAGCTCATAACTAGATAGCTTCTCTTGTTGGAGATTCGTTTTTTTACTCATGAAGTAAATGGGGTGTAACTGTCCATCATCTGACTTTTGTAGCAATACAGCGCCGAAACCTTGACTGCTTGCATCTGTATGCAATTCTAATGGTGCTCCTTGTTTAAAAATATGAAGAATCGGACTTGTCGATAAAGTTCTTTCAGTTTATTAAATGCATCTTTTTATTCAGGCCCAAATTTGAATTCTGCTCCGTTACGAAGAAGATCACTTAGTGGTTTCGCTATTTTTGAATAATTGGCAATAAATTTCCTAAAGGACCCAAGAAACTTTGAGTCTGCTTAAGGTTTTTGGGTTCTGGGAAATTTTGAACAGCCCTGGTTTTTTCGGTAGAGGGGCGAATTGTACCATCCTCAATAACATACCCGAGAAATTCTATTTTTCTTTTCAAAAATTGGCATTTCCTAAAATTAATCTCCAAACCATATTCTTTGGCTACTTCTAAAACGCATTTCAACTTTTCCAAACCTTCGTTCTCGTTTCGTGCTGGAATAACAAAATCATCCATGTAAGTGACAATGGTGTCATCCCGAATTAAGTCTCTAAACACATTATAAATAAATCTTTGGAACACACTAGGGGACCTGCACAAACCAAAAGGTGCTTTTAGAAATTCATACAAGCCTGCATGAGTAATAAATGCCAAATATTTGGTGCAGCTTTCCTCCACTGGAACATGAAAAACACCATTTTTTAAAACCTTTGCTTCATCCAAACAATCTAAAACCTCTTCTACTTGTGCCATAGGAAAAGAATCCTTAACTATTTTTTTATTTAACTGCCTGAAGTCAACACAAATCCACAAATCATGTGGTGTACACATCAGATTTTTTAAAATCTCCTTACATATTTAAAACTATAGCGGGGAAGATTCAGTTATGTTATTTAATTTGATATGATGTTAATGATTTATAGCTATTGTCTGAATGTATTGTCTTTGTCATGGCATACAGACACATTCAAGTGATAATAAAATAAATTATTCTAATGCACAAGAAATTATAACCTTATGCTAATTTTTTATTGATATATATTCTGAAAAATTAAACTATTTAAAAATCAGGTTTAGAGTTTGTAAAAGGCTTTCCACTGATCTTTAAAAGTACACAAAGCAAAGATATGTCTGAATTTATAATATATTTTACAGTGTATTAATTCTATGGGAATTCAGTCAGTTTTTTTTTCTTTAGAAAAAATACTTAAACCATGTATTTTTTTTTCTTTAAAGTTTAATAAACAATCGTTTTTAATCAGTGACCAGTCACTTTTGACATGTTGTGTCTTGCTATCCAGTGCAAGTAAGACTGACCATTGAAAGAAATGACCTTAATGTAAAGTTTGATAATTTAGAAAATCTATTTTGAGGCTGTTCAGTCGTAAGATCACTCTCACTAACTGAACATGTTACAGAAGTCACCACTTCAATTTTCTTGATGATGCTGAAGATAAACATGGCATGCCTGTTGGTAAAAATGGACCACATTAGACCTTTTAAACAAATTAGAAGAAATTCTATCTTTTGCTCCTCTAAGAGTTTCCCAACCCTTTCCAAGAACAGTATTCTGATAATAGAAGTGCTTTAATAATTTGAATTTAACACTTGATGACCGATTTACAGCATCATGCAAGAAGAATATTTGATTTAGGGTAATAATAGAAACTTATTTAACAAGTTTATCTGCAGTCTTACAGCCTGAAATCGTACAATAACATAGGAATGATAGCTATTCACTATAGGCTGAATGGTAGCTTAGAAATAAATGAAGACGACCACCTTGTGTTCTAATTTTGAATCTGAGGCTTCAACAGTAAGGAGAAATGTAAAGATCCCCTCCAGTTTAATAAATAGAGATACAAGTATTTATTGTTAGTTTTAAATAAGTATAACTTTTTATTTTAATAAGAAACCTTGAAAAGAAATAAGTAAAAGAGAAATTAAAGAAATAGAAATTTTCATTCATTTCCTTATGAGGATTTAAATTTCAATTTAACCTTAGATTTCTCTATGGATCATATCAGGAAACTTCTGGATTTTAGCAGTTTGCTCATATTCCTAATATCACCTGATAGGTATTTGTTCTTTCATTTTGCATTATTCCTTTTGATTCATCTTGATCTTTGTTCTTGAATGATTATTATGAAAATAGTGGTTCTTTTGAACAAATTTTAGAGTGGTTTATTGGGCTTTATTAATAAAATGTAATATTACATTTTTCATTCTCATTTCCTTCATTTTTTTCATAATTTAACATATATATCAGAAGGTTGTATTAGAGAGCTCATTTACTTCTTAACTTATATAAGAAAGGGTGAGGGAAAAAATGTATGTAGTGTGGATATACTCAGGTAATTGATGTTTAGTAATGTTTTTTTACTAAAATCACTGGATACAGTAGTGTTTGATTAATTTCATGACTTGATCTATTTTGTTAACTACTGCTCACTGCTGCACAAAATTATACTGTAAAATAAAACAATAAAATAATTCATCCACCTTCATTTAATCTTTAGTTAATATAATTTATTTTTTTATCTAATTTCATTTAATCTTCATTCAATCTTATCATCAAGTCTCAGAATTTATATACAACTTAAAGACTTATATACAACTTAAAGAGGGAATTAAAAAGTAGGAAATAAATCCAATAAATTTGGATTTATTTCCTACTTTTCAATTCTCTCTTTTTCATTCCCATGGAATTCATATTGTAGCAAGTTTCATGCATTCACTTATTCAAATTACTATTACTAGTAATTACTATGATTTACTAAATATTCACTTAGTATTAGAGAATCAGAGGCTTACTAGTCTTTTGTAATAGTTCAGTTCATGATTTAACACATCAATTAATTAATTAATTAATTCATTATTTAGATTATCCTAGTTGGTCAGTATCAAATATACAATCCTTTTGATGAGATAAATTTCAAATTAACGTTTTATCTGCTTAATTTGGGGGGGGCTAATATGAAACTGATGCACATAATTTGATCTTTCTTCATAAAGTTTTTGCATTTTGGTCATAAAGTTTTTGCATATATTTAAAATTGGTATGCAGTTATCAATATCTCATTACTATGTACATTGCATTCTATAGGGTGAACTGCTTTTAATTATGTTTATTATTTGTAGTGTTTAATATTTGTAATGCATTGTAATAGACTGTATTAAGTAATGTGTAATGCAAGTTTTCCCTATTAAATTTACAATATTTTTAAATAAATTTTTTGTGCAAATAAAGAGAAATTAAAAAAATGAAATATCAGTTAAAAAATGAATATTAAGCAGTGGTTATATCATATGTATGATATTTGAAATTTGTAAACATTTCCATTAATTCTTGCCTTAAATGAGGTAAATTTGATTATGAAAATTGAGTAGCTGTCTATGAAAATGTAACTAAACATTTATATTATGAATATAAATTTTGTAAAATTTATATTCAATTGATTACAGTAAATATTTAAATGCGATTTTCTGAAATTTTGCTTAAGTATTTTTTTAAAATGTTGCCAAAAAATAAATTCAGTTTGTAACTAATGCTTATCTATTTTAGGACGTGATACTTTTGTACATTCCACAACTTGTTCAAGCAGTTAGACATGACAGTGTGAGTATATTCTGTACTTTAAAAAAAGGGGGTTGTGAAAAGTATTTTTTGGCATGTTTCATGTTGCCTTTTCTTGAAAAGAAAATTTTGTTCTTATGATTTTCTGACATTTATTAACTTATAAATGCCTTAATTATATTTAGTTTAAGTGCTTCTACTTTATTGTATCAAGAAAACATTTTCTGCTAAGCAAAAAAAAATGAATACCTCTAAACTTCTGAATACTTTCCCTTCATCATATGTGATTTCAGTTGTCTAGAGTAGTTCAAAACTTTGAGGGTTTATTTTGCTGCAGTAAAATTAAGTCCTGTCAAAGCCCTGTTAAGACAGGACCCCGACATTAATGAGTGGATACTTGCTTATACTTCATTAGCATCAAATTTTGATGTGTAGTAAAATTTTCTCCTGAGTAGGAGCTACAATAACTCTATTAAAACATTTCTTTAATATATATTAAGTATGTACCTTGTGTATAGAGAAAGTGCATAATTAAAATCAAAATTATCATGATAGTAAAAATAGGTAATAATCCCATCTATAGTTATTACAGGGTAGAAGCAACTTTGATACTGGTGCACTAGGTTTAGAAATCTCAAGGGCTTGAGCAATAATGTTAGTTTTATTTACCCAGAGAAGGACATTTAAAATTTGTTGATCTTAAGAGTCTAGTGATAGAAGACAAAAGATATGAAATCCTCAGATACCATTCCTTGTTATATCCGTGTTTGAATTGGAATGGTAAGAAAAAATCATGCTGTCATCACCGGTGTGCAGGATCTTTCACAAATGGCAGAATATATTTTTCTGTCCATGACTTTCTTAGGATACTGGAATATAACCAACAGCAATAAGAAATAGCTTAAGATCAATAAGTTATGTCTGAAAATATTAGTAATTTTTATTTATGAACTTTGTTGATATGTTTCATAGAAAATATTAAGTTGGGGCCAGTTTTAAAAGAAATGACTAAATATTTAAGGTTTCTAAATGTAATAAGCAGTTATAAGAATAGTGATATTTCAGTAATATAAAATTAAAGATTTATTTTCCTTCCTTTTTGATAGTTTCTTTTTTTAAAATTTACAATCTATAAATTTTATGTATAAATTTGTGGTTTTTATCAACTTGCAGCTAATAATTGTAGCAGACTTTAAAATGTAACCTTGTATATTATTATAAATATTAATAATAATGATGATGATGGAAGAAATGATGAAATTATTCCTAACTCAAATTGGGCTCAAAATCTTTATTATTTGTAAATGTACTTCAGACGAAGTATCCTGAAAACAAAAATTCTTCTTGTATTTCATGAGTGTTTATTTGCCTCTTAAACTCTTTATTTATTAACAGTAATTTACTGTGAAGTAAATTGTTTGTATTCTCAACAATTTTTTTCAGATGGGATATGTTACTGAATTCATTAAAAGTGCATGCAAGAAATCTCAACTATTAGCCCATCAGATTATATGGAATATGAAAACTAATATGTATTTGGATGAAGAGGCACAACAACAGGATCGTAAGTAAACTTAATTATATCTTCAGGCACACATATATGTAAATATTTGGAGTTGATAAAAATGAAGTTAACTAATTTTATAACAGATTGATCTTTACGTTTATTACTACTACTCTAGTGTTTATTATAAAGTGATGGATATTATCAGATAAAAAATAGTTTCTCTAAAAGCTGAAAATGAAAAATTGAAAAAAAATATCTCTAAATATGATGATATGTTTCATAGAAAATATGAAGTTGGGCCAGTTTTAAAAGAAATGACTAAATATTTAAGGTTTCTAAATGTAATAAGCAGTTATAAGAATAGTGATATTTCAGTAATATAAAATTAAAGATTCATTTTCCTTCCATTTTGATAGTTTCTTTCTTTCTTTTTTTTTTTTTTTTTTTTTTTTTTTTTTTTTTTTTTTTTTTTAATTTACAATGTATAAAATTTTATGTATAAATGTGTGGTTTTATCAAACTTGCAGCTTTAAATTCTAATCTGTAAGTTAAAAAATTATTAAAAAATTCTTTCCTTGGCAGTTTTTTTTATTTGGATATTATTATATTAGTTTTGTGTATAATTTTTAATCCAGTTTTTCCTTGAAGTGGTCTTTTTATATAAATGCTCTTTAAATAGTCTTTTACAGTAAAATGACCTTAAATAAATAAGTAAACCTTACACCTTAAACCTAGACCTTAAATAAGTGTTTACTTGAGCAGTGTATATACTCGTTTAAATTCAACGAGAGGTCACCAGAGCCCTGCTTCAGTATTTCTCAGTTTTTGAGTGAAATTGTAATTCATGCCAGCACCCCAGATAAGATGTACTTGAGTATTTTAATTCATTATTTAACTTAATTTTTTATTTATTTCTTTACATTTAATTTGTAATTATTAGTATATTTTCATTCTCTTTTCATGAATAGGGTTATGACACTTCTAATATTCAAAATTAGGCTGTGTACATTTTGCTTATGTAATTAGAAAAGCATTTTTAAAAAAATTAATTTCATTAATTTTTTACGTATACTGGTACGTATACTGGTACTGGGATTAGTTTCCATGGCATTACACACATTCTCTCCCATAATGACCGAATGCATCGATCATGGTCTGTCTTCACTAGTCCCATGACAGGTACTCGCACAAATTTCAATGCATACATGCAAGGGTACTGTAGTGCAGTTGATGTCTGTCTGAGAAACACTCTTGATAAATTCAGCTCTTCCATGTGCATGTCTGCTAGCTCACCATTTGTTCCATGCTCTTTATATACTGGCTACCACTCAAATGAGAAAATCTTCACTTCCCCTCCAGTTATTTCATGCAGATCATCATCAAGTGGCACATGATGATGTTTCTGGTCATGAGTTGCTAGGCAATCCTAATCCTTGTGGTGTGCCCTACCTCTTCTAAAAGATACATTTTTGAGATACTCTATGTATTATTAGAAGGAAATCCCAAAAAGCTTGCACATGATCAATACTAGTATCTAATTGATAATTTCAAAATTTTCAAATTATCATAATCTATTGATAATTTCAAAAATTATCAACAATAAAAAGTGTTTTAAAAAATTATCAACATAAAGTAATAATGAAATCTTAGTACTATTGAGGAATATGAGAGATTTGTTATATTATTATTCTGTAAAACTATTTTTTTCTATAATGTCATTAATAGATATTACAACTAGGCAAAATTCAGTTTTGTATTGAAGTTAATTTCAGTTAACAGATTTGTAAATCTGAAAAGAATTTTGGCTGAATCTGACTAAATTTGAGGAAAAACTGAAATAAGAATATTCCAATTCTAAAAACAGTATATTATTATATGCATTTATGAGCTGGAGGAAACCACTGCAGAGCTGATATCCTGAATTTTAATCTTTCTTTGAAGCACAGTAATGATGTTAAGATGTATAACAGGTCATTTGAAGCTTTAGAATTCCATTGTGAACCAGTATATACATAGTAATATATAAAAAAAAAATGTTAATAATAATGCCCAGAATTTAAAATTTGTGAATAATTTTATGTACGATTAAGGATTTAAAGCAAAAACTATACTTTCAATACTAGTACCCCAAAGTGCTCAGAATGCCTGCCAATTTACAAGATTTTAAATGGTATACTAAGTCTGTGAAGTTATTTAAAAGTCAGAATAAGAAATGCATTAAACACGTATTACAAGAAAGAAACTATTCTATGGATTAATTATTATACAGTTATTAAAATATTATATAGTAGTCAGTTAATAAAAAATTCAGTTATCCCTCCTTTCCCCCCATGGCTGGCTCTAGCCATTTATAGGCCTTGGCCACTACTAAGGCTGGAAGCGGTGATCTCTTTATTATGGAGGCACTTAATAGGTAGGTCACCGCTGCCTGCTATAAAGGGAAGGACAAATTACATCCATGCTTTTTCCAGGATTCGAACATGGGGGGGGGTCGTGTTTGTGAACTCCGGTTGCAGCCGGAGTCACTAACCACTTTCTCATCTGAGCAACAAATTTTTGGAAGTTGTTATGAGGATTTTATTGAGATCAAAAGCATTTTGAATGTGTAAGTTATGTATTTTGCTAAGGCTTGCTACAGAGGCAAAACATGTAAATTTGGACTCTTTAATATAAATATTATAAAAGTAAGGCAGTGAGCAGTTAAGTTTTCAGTTAATTTTTATTAAACATATTTAAAGTACAATTAATACTCTTTCAGTTCTTTGATTATAACTTTTATTTTTGCAGCTGTTATGTATGAACCACTGGAGCATATCTTGAGCAACATTATTGGTTCTCTGTCAGGTCCAGCAAAATTGTTTTATGAAAGAGAATTTGAATTTTTCAGTAAAATTACTGCAATATCAGGTGAAATTAGGTATGCACATGAATTGTTCAACATTTATTTCCTTAAAATTAATTTTAGTTGTATACTTTCAGTTACAAAATTTCTTGAAATAGTATTATTAATGTATATAAATATTAGTTTCTCTGTGTTATTTTGATATTTTATATTTTTTATTTATTTATTTACAATTTTTAGATTGAAAATTTTTGGGCTTAATTTGTGTTTAATCCATGTCTTGTATTTAAATATGAATTTGTTGCACATAATTGTAGATCTTGCATTTCTGAAAGCAACAATGTTGGAATTGTAAAAATAGTTAAATTAGTGTTAGAAATGGGCAATTCGTTTCTGATGGGCCTTGGGAGCAATATTTATCACCAAGTTAGCTACATTTAACGATTTCGCCATCTTAGCCAAAACACATTTTTGAAGCCATATGATCGATTCTTCAAGAAGTTTCCAGAGCTTACAGAAGTTCTGACTGAGTATAAATACAGGTTGGAGATCTGTGTGTTTGTGAATCAGCTCTGAGATTTAGTGGTTAGCTGAATTAACGAGTTGGGATTTACTCTGAGAGCGATTTGAGGAACTTTATAATATATTTCATGTGCTTAATAGAAATTCTTCAATATCTGCATTTCCCTTGAGTTATTTGTAGCTATTATTCTGCTGTTTTACTTATTGTGCATATTTTCATAATAAACTGTTCATTTCTTTCTGCTTATTTGGACTTATTATTTAAAAACATCAGTGTGATCCCATGCCTTGCAACAATATCTTACAGAATTTTATGAAAATAGTAACATTATGGATAGAATTTTTAATGGTCTCTAAAAAAAGTAAAATAATTTATTTTGGTTAAATAAAACAAGACCTGTTACAATGTTTTCGTAGATTTTCATCATGAATTGTATCTTAAATTAAGGAGCTTATTTATATAACAAATATTCTTATAAATGGAAATGGCTGTTACAAACAGTAAGCTTTCCTTGTAGTTTCGAACAGACATGCATGGCATATGTGACATTTATTGCCATTGGAATGCAATTAAATTTGTTTCATAATAAAGAATGATTTTTCTGAAAATGGAATGATGAGAAGGGTTTGATTATTTTCCCTAAACTTCATGGATTGTATTCATAAGCTGATTTAAGTAATGATTTATGTAATTTTCCATTTTATTTGACTTGTTAGATCAAATGTTTTTGTCATTTATTTTTATGGGAATGGAAATGTTTTAAAATGTTACAATTTTTCTACAGAAATATAAATTTAAATGTAATAATTCCAAAAGCATAGAAGAGGAATTAGCTTGCAGTCGTCGTGGCTGAAGGTGAAGGCTAACAGATGAAGATAACAAAACATGAACCTGATGAATTTCCAGTCTTTATTTCCATACATAAAATCATCTCCATAGATGTTTATCCAATCATAGTGAAATCCGAGACATTTGTAGGATTCAATTATAATGAAATACGATAAATTTTTATGTACATTGACTCTTAAAATTAAGATGCAGGCATTTTAGATGGAGAAGCAAAGCAAGGAAATATTAGCAAGGTAGAAGCTAGCAGAAGAAGTGAGGTAATTAGCTTCTAGAGGTATTTATGTCAAGTTTGATGTACTAATCTATGATTGGTTAGTTAGTAGTGTTACATAACATAGAAAAATCTCTAATTTGGGAGAACAGATGAATTTAGGGGAAGAACACCAAATTCAGAATGTTAATTTTGAGATTGTCAATTATTTTTTAAAGCTTTATCGTTATTTTTATTTATTTTTTACAGCTACTTCCATATTTGTATTTATAAATACAAATACATATTTATAAATACAAATACTTTTATAAATACAATACTTTTATAAATACAATACATATACTTTTATAAATACAAATGACTGAAATAAAAAAACAATAATGTGTTTTTTTTATTTCAGTCAGTTAATAATTTTATATTAAGACATTCAAAATTAATATTTAAAGATGTATCTGCATTCAATTAGTATGAATTATTTTTCAGGCCATATCCGAAAGGACCTCAACGTAAACAAGCATGTTTGAATGCTCTCAGTACGATAAAGGTTGAACCAGGGTGCTACCTTCCATCAAATCCAGAAGCCGTAGTTCTTGATATTGACTATAAATCTGGAACTCCTATGCAAAGGTCTGTTAGTTTTTTCCCCTAATTTTATACTCGTCTTAATACGTAACATTGATGATATAAGCTGCTTTGATTCAAATATTTAAAGTAGAGTGTTTACTGGAGGAATTAATTTATATATAATTTGATATATTATAACAAAGTAATGGAAAATTTGGTCCTCGCCTCAAAAAGAAGAGACATCGCCGAAAGCCAAAGGGCTCGAGAAAAGTAAAATTTTTTGGGTTAACATCATTATTATTCGCCATATTAATTTGGAATGAGCAATTCCAGCTGAACAAATGTGCTTCCCTCACCAACTTCTTTGTTGATATTATGTACAGTACTAAAGTACATAGTACAATACATATGAGATACAATACAATGCAAGAGTATATAAGCGAATGCAATTAATGGAAGTACTGGATGAAAAATGCAAATTATGTTAATTTAAGGTGAGGAATATGATCATGTAAGAGCAGATATACAATAATCAAGAAACAATATAAAGTTTTCATTCTCATTAGTATCTTTCATAAAAGTAACAAATGCGGGGATGACCTCTTTCATTATTAATCAACCTATAAACTTATACTTCCGTTATACGAAAAGTTAAGTATTTTCTTTTCTGTGTTCCAATGTGCTTGGACGTACTAGGAACCGGTGCAGAATTTATGTATAAGCTACTGAAGCTATAGCTTAGGACCCCCATTTTCTCGGGCTTCACCTCCAAAAAAATTAAAATATAATAAAAAAGAAGGAAAAAAAAAAAAAGGAAATGTTTCAGATTTTAAATGACGTCCAAAGGGGCATTTTTAAAAAATTTTGTCTGTTACCTTTATTTATTAAATATCATGTTCTACAAACTTAAACCATAAAATTCAGTTCAAGGGCAATATTGCAAAATAGTTTTTAATTGAACATATCTTTAGAATTTCCGATATGCAGTCTCATGCGCTGGAGATAAAAATGTTTTTTTCTGTACAACGTTGCCATTGCTCGCTTTGAAAACCTTGAGTTTGTTAGTCAAAAATTCATTAAAGGTGTACAAAATGTAAAATCGATAATAAAATAATTTTCAAATTTCAAATCTGGGCTTCCGCATGCCTATATTTGGAGTAGGATTACATCATTCAAAATTCGATGGATATATGTACCATTGTTTTATTTCTTCAAATATAATGCAGGACTCTAACATTTGGCGGCAATAGTTTGAAAAGTGAAACGGGCATTTATAGTAAACCAACGCAAAATGAAAACGATAGTCCTTCAGGGACAAAGCCCCTTTGGACTAATAAATATAGAATTAAAATATAGTATAACAGACTTATAAAGAGCCCCATATATCAAAACGCTTAGAGCCATATCAAGTCTAAATCCGGCTCTGCTAGGAACATATGATGAATATGTGCATGAATGTCACTGCAGGCATAAGATGTAGTGGAGCACTTTAGATTATAAGCATTCAGATAATATGGGAATGCACCTGATTAGTCGGTACTCGATTCAAGAAGAAGTCTGAAAAGTGACATTTTTCTGAAACGGTAGAAACTTATAGGTGGATCTTCCAGCAAACTCAGTAATCCAGTGGTCTTGCCAGATCCATAGGTTCTATTGTTTGGTTTGTAATTGTATCAAAATTATTGGGACTTTAATATCTTCAAAAGAGCCCATTAATATTTCATCTTTTGCCAATTGATCTCCTTTTTCATTTCCTATCATTCCACTATGAAGTTAGATTCAAAAGAAGGATGTTTTAGGTTTGCGGATGGCATGTCTTAATTTTATTATATTGTCATTAAAGATATTGAATTTATGTAAAGCTTCAAGTACTGAATTACTATCAGTATAAATTCTTTGCTTTGATTTTCTTGGAATTTATGTGTGCTATTGTAGCGAAGCGGTATCTTAACTTTAAATTAATAAACCTAAGAATACATCAATGTGAGTGGACTGTAAAATTTAACCTTTATTCGCGGTTTGAACTTTTGAACACAACACAGCACAAAGTAAAACGACAGAGTTACAATTAGCGGTTTTAAGAATGCAAGAACAAAATGCGAACTACGCATACAATCTGTGCATTGCGAAATAATATCTCACAGACAGGCAGAGAGCTCTGGTGGCTGAAACATTCCGCCCAGCGTTGAAACATCATTTCAAACTAAATAGCTTTTACAAAATGAAGTTATCATAACAATATTAAATTATGCAAAAATGTATCATCAAAATATTCACAAGAAAACATAATATGTAATTATGCAATGAAACTAAATTGTTCTCAAAACAGATGCACAGAAGCCTTGATACAATTCAGGAACTTATATAGCTAAAGCAAAGTACAAAGTTATAATGCTTTAGGAAAAAAACTTAATCATTGATAGGCAAAACACTAAGTTTGTGAATTGGCCTTTTGAAAACTCCGTTAGCGGTTTTGATCTTCACGATATGCACAATATTATCTGAGCTAGGAAAAACTTCCTGGTTTTCCTCTTCGAGACACAAAGCACTTTAAAGCGGCAATAAATGATTCTGATGTAAGATTACCTACTAATTCAATATGTATAGCTCTTGTAGTAAAACAAAACACACGAATACACAAATGTAGCATTTCATTGGTTTTTACTCCTCGACCTTGCCTGGGCTTCACTTGAAATGGCCCGGCGTAGTCAATTCCAACTTTGGAGAAAACCTTTGACGGAACGACTCTAGACGATGGTAAATCAGACATTATCTGGGTAGATGTTTTAGCTCGTACACGATGACATTTCACACATTTCCAAATCTGTTGTCTTACAACTGACCTAGCGTGGATTATCCAATATTCTCTTCTAATTACTGATAGCAATAGCAGGGGGCCTGCATGAAGATGGAATTATGAAAATGATTCACTATAATCTGTGTTATGTGATGTTTCTTGGGCAACAAAATAGGATATTTTCTGTCCTGCGCGATGTTTTAATCTTCCTCCAACGCGTATAAGTCCATTCTTATCGATAAATGGGTTCAAAGAAAGGATCATACTATTTGAGTTTAACGGTTGATTCTTTTCAGAAGATTATATTCATTAAAAAACTCATCCATTTGAACTACTCTAACAATTGCATTTCTAGCGTATTGCAATTCTTCGGTTTTAAGGTAACCCTTAATTCTTGTTGCGGTAGATTTAGCTGAATTATTCGCAAACCGAAAACACCATGCGATGATTCTTTTAAGTTTCAAAAATGATGAAACTTCATTAAGGACTGGAATTTGCGAAGCGACTGTTCCAATTGAACAAGAAATATTTTTCCGTTGTTCCCTTAAAGACTCTTCTGAAAATGGTAAGTTGATAGAGAACGGAATATTATTTGAATTAAGCCACTGAGGACCTGTCCACCACAAGTCATGAGTAGAAAGCTCTGAAGGCAAAAGACCTCTTGATGCGCAATCAGCTGGATTCTCCTTTCCTTTTATGTGATTCCAATGCGATGAAGGTAAGACTGATTGAATTTCTGAAACGCGGTTGGCTACGAAGGTTTGCCAGCGTGTTGGTTCTGATTGTATCCAGGACAAAACTATCATTGAATCACTCCATGCGTAAATACTGTCAACATGAATTTGCAATGAATTCTGCACAGCTTGAACCAAATGCACTAATAGAACTGCAGAGCAGAGTTCTAAACGAGGAATAGAGATTACTTTCAGGGGAGCTACGCGAGTTTTTGATGTTAGTAGCTGCACCGAAATTGAAGAATGATTTGAAGACTTTAAATAAATCACTGCGGCGTAAGCTTTCTCTGATGCGTCACAGAAACAATGAAGTTCTACATTTGTAGATTTGGGCAATAATACTCTCCTAGGAATATGAATGCATTCAAGATTTGCGATATCTTCACAATAGATTTTCCATCTTTGATTGATTTCATCTGGCAAGGGATCATCCCACGAGATTTGTAATTTCCATATGTCTTGAAGCAAGATTTTTGCTGCAACTATAAAAGGTGCTAACCAACCAAGTGGATCAAAGATTTTCGAAATAGAAGATAAAATTATTCTTTTAGTAGAACACTCTCTGTTTTCGAGATTTCCAAAGTGGACAAGTAAACTCGTCTTGCGTTGGATACCACTCCAAACCCAATAATTTTATTGATTTAGTATCAACTACTGTACATGAAGAATTTGAGTTCCGAGCACTCAAAGCAGTTTCCAAAATCGAGCGATCATTTAGTACACCATTTATGAAATTGAAAGCCACCTTTTTGTAAAAGTTCACTCAGTTGTGAAATTAACTCTACTCTACTGCGTCTTCTACTGTGTCTGAACCAAATAGGACATCATCAATATAACAATTGTGTAATATTATTTCAGCTGCCTTTGGGAATTTAGTTCCTTCGTCAATTGTTAGTTGTTTGAGTACGCGAGTAGCCAGGTATGAAGCGGAAGTAGTGCCGTACGTAACTGTGCACAACCTGTAAGTTTTAATCGGCTTCGATGGATCATCTCTCCAAAATATTTTTTGGTAATCGCGATCTTCATCATGAATTTGAACTTGTCGATACATTTTCAATAAGTCGCTAGTAATGGCTATGGGATAGCATCTAAACCTCAAAAGAATAGTAAATAAGTCGTCTTGTACCTTGGGACCATTCATTAGCGTGTCATTAAGCGATATCCCTGATGTAGTTTTGGCACTAGCATTGAAAACGACGCGTAGTTTTGTGGTAAGACTGGATTCTTTTAGCACGTGATGATGAGGTATATAATAATGAAAATTTACTTTATCTGGATTATCATCGGATAATTCTTCCATGTGTCCAAGTGATAAATATTCGGACATGAAGTCTTTATACTGTTGATATACTTCAGGAGTTTTTATTAATTTTTGTTCCAGACTAAGAAAGTTGCGAAAGGCTGATGGTCTGGAATTACCCAACTCATTTCTTTTAGGCTTGAATGGCAGTTTTACTGAGTAACGACCCTTTTCACTACGCACGTGATTTTCCACGAAATGATTTTCACACAATCTTTCCTCTTTAGTTAAAGGTTTCGATGTGGGAATTTGTTCCAAATCCCAAAATGATTTAACTAATTCCTCCGTGTTTACGTTTAGCGTATTGACTGAAACCTGCTTACGGTTTGGGAATTCAAAATGTGTAGTTCCAGCAATTATCCATCCTAACTTAGAACAACATGCAAATGGAAGATTTTTGCCCCTTTTAATTACCTCGCCATTTATTAAAGTAAGGAATACATTAACTCCAAGTAAAATATCAATTTTCTCCCGATTCATGAAATGTAGGATCTGCTAAAGTTAAATCCTGGAAATTTTCATATAAATTCAAAGGTAATGTTACACTTGGAATGTTTCCTGTAATTTTGTCTATTATGTAAGCGGACGTTGAAATTCTGTAATTAGTATTAAAATGAGGTGTAAACAACAAGTCAACTTCTCCAGTAGTAGTTGTATTGAAAGTACCTAAGCATGACACTAATATCTTCGAATCCTTTATGCTCAATCCTAAATTGATAGCTGTTTTCCGACGAATGAATGATTTTTCACACTACCTGAATCTAGTAAACATCTACAATTATGAATTCCTTTTTTGAGTTTTGAACCTTAATTAAAGCAGTACACAAAAGTACATGACTACGTTTACCATTAGCATGATTTTTTCATAGTGATTTTCATAGTTGTTTGCATAAACAGTTGGAGAAATATCATTCAAGTTGTTTTCTGGTTTAATTTGCGATTTCGGAACAAACACTTGTGCTTCCGGTGAAGGGAATCTAGATGCATTTTTTGGTTTGAAATATTTTCTAAATGCAAAATGCTATGATGATGCTTAAAACAATGCTTGCAGGTGTTTGCACTCTTACACATTTTAACTTTATGGACATTAGACAAGCAATTAAAACAAAGTTTATTAGTCTTAACAAACTCTATTCGTTTTTGCACTGGTAAATTTAAAAAATTAGAACACCTGTATAAAAAATGATCTTCTTTACAAAATAAGCAGGTAGAATTAGTAATCAGAGAAGTAACCCTATTATACACTGGTTTATCTGATTTATGCGTTTTACTAATTAAAGGTTTACTGTTCTGTAATGTTCTAGCGTAATTCTTCAAAAATTCTATCAAGTCATTCAACTTTGGTATTTCGTCTTTTTTTAATTGACGCTCCCACCACAACTTTGTCGAAACGTCAAGTTTTTGCAAAATAATATACAACAACAAAGTATCACTAAAATTATCTATCCTTTGATCTAATATTTCCAATGAGCGAGTTATTTCGTTTACGTTATCTACTAAACTTAATATCGAGGATGCAGATTCCGTTTGTATTTGTGAAACGTTAAGAATTCTTTTAATAAAAGCAAATATCTGTTCTCTCTTATTAGAAAATCTCTCTTCTAGTAAATTCCAAGCAATACTGAAATTTTGATCAGCTATGGGAATTGACTGAATAATGCGATAAGCATCATTTTTCAAAGAACTCTTTAAATATTGTAATTTTTGAGCTCCAGAAAGATTTGGATTGTTGCGAACACTAGCGTTAAATAAATCTTTAAATGTTATCCATTCAGTTAAATTTCCGCTAAATGTGGGTAAAGATAATTTCGGTAACTTTAAACTTTCAGAGATTGATTCAGGTACGACAGGTTTGTCGCCATTTGCATTTACGACCTTGTAAATCTTTAACTTACGAATAATTTTTAAGTGAACCTCCTCAATTTTCTCTAAAATCGACTGTTCTTCCTCAACGAAAGTGTCTATTTTTTCATCATCACAATTTGTATAAATTTCTCTAAATAGAGATTTAAAATCTTCCTTAAAGATTTTACATTTTTCTAAGATTAATTCAGCTTCAGCATTATCTAAGTTATCATAATCTATTCTCTCAATGAATTTAGTTAACTGTGTTTTCAAAATTTTTTTCTTTCGCTTTTTTTTCTATATCTGACATTTTGAAAATATTCTAAATTCTCGATTTTACTAATACTTTAAAACACAACAATAGTAGCAATAAGGAAATCTCAAATGCAATTAAAATGCGTTAACTATTTCACTCACCTCGAACACTGTATCCATTCCGTAAGTCTTGAGAATTCCAAACCGAAATTGCATTATCAACTCCATTACGGACACGTAGAATTCTTATTCACAAGCGCGGGTTTTTCTCGAAGCTCCGGCGTATGACGACCAAATAATGTAGCGAAGCGGTATCTTAACTTTAAATTAATAAACCTAAGAATACATCAATGCGAGTGGACTGTAAAATTTAACCTTTATTCGCGGTTTGAACTTTCGAACACAACACAGCACAAAGTAAAACGACAGAGTTACAATTAGCGGTTTTAAGAATGCAAGAACAAAATGCGAACTACGCATACAATCTGCGCATTGCGAAATAATATCTCACAGACAGGCAGAGAGCTCTGGTGGCTGAAACAGCTCTTCTCTTTCGAAAGGCTTGAGATATGGAGCTTTTATCTTGCAATTTATAAAAAAATCCTTTTTAAAAAAATACCATCTTTGTAAATACAAAATGCTGCTACAGTTCCCGTATCTACTTTGGAACCATGAGTGAAAAGTTCATATCCCTGTAGGATTGGGATTTGTGCTTGCCATATTTACAGATTTCCTCTGTTTACAGTTGCCATGTTGGGCAGAGTTTAGAAATGCTAGAGTGATCAACAGGCAACTGTAATGCATCATTTGCGTTATGTTTAGTGCAATTTTATGTACCTTAATTCAGAGTTTCGACATTATTTGTGCCCATGACCTACTACATCACAATTTCCACCATGCCACCTCAGTCTGACAGCTAGAAGAGATGTATCCAAATTGACAACATCAATAACGCCGAGTTGGTCTAATGACAAAAAATGACATGATAGTTTATAGAAACCTTATCTAGAAAATAACGTTATGCATTTTGAAGGGGACCACAAACCTCAACTTACAGGTGATCCCAAAATTATTTACACCAGACTTGCATATCACTAACCTGTAGAGACCATCCCCAGAAGCCGAAATTTGTTTTTGCTTTTTATTGTTTGCAATAGAAATGGATCACTTCATATAAATAAGATGGTTGAACACCATGTGTGCAATGCAAAATGAAATAAAAAGACACCATAAAAATGGAATAACATTTATCCCAAAAATAGCCATTACCCTATCGAATCGAAATGTTATTACCCTATAATAACATTTCGATTCTTTTTTTCTGTTTCCTGCAGGAAATTTTATTATATTATTTCCAATTCTATTTCCTGCAAGGTTTCTATAAACTATCACCTTCATTATCACTGCTCATTTTCTGCATTCTTGATGATCCTGGCTTTGAGTCACTCATTTTAGGAATTAAATTGAAACCAATACAAAATTTTATGTTTACACTCTTTAAGAAACTTTTTGTTTTAAATCATTCTTATCCCTATGGCTGCTTTTCTCATACTGAATGATAATTGCAATTCATTATTGCACACACTGTTTGCAGTTTGTCTTGAATGGGTTAAATCAAGAAAGAATATTTTCATGAATGCTTCTAAAAAATTTTCTACTGCTTTGAAATTTCCTGATTTTTGTTTTTTCTCAAAAAACTTTTAAAATAATCTTTTTAGTCATATACAATTGATGATTTGATTTTGTAGTTATCTTTGCAAACATTCCTTTATCTAATTTTATCATTAATTCTGCCTTTTTAAGAACATATAGAGTTATGTTTTGCATCATCTCTGAACGGCAATAATACATATGGGTGCTAGAGGTTATTAGGAAAGTAAAATCAAAACATTTGGCTGTGGTTATGTACAAATTTTGGATCTTGAGTTCTGTTAACGAAATCATCTGGGAGATAAATTTGAAACTTACCATGACATGAGAATTGCTGTATTATAAAGTCAGGATTAAAGAGGTACAATTTGTATAAATTTATTTGAGATGCAAATTAAATGACAGCAGGCATATATTGGATGATTATTTCTATAATTTTATATTTTTATGAATATTAATTTTTTTTTCTAATTATTGGTAATATATCACTAGGCAAAATTCAACATTAAACTGATATTGATTATAATTACATGCTGTTTGCATTTCTAGAATTACCACTGTTGCTTTTATACACATTACTGGAAAGATATTTTTCTTTCTTGTACACCAGACAAGGTGTTTAGATATTACTTCAGGCTTCTGTTTTTCGTAAACTTTTGTGGATTTAATCACATGAAGTACTCAAGTGCTCAGAAATAAACTGAATTTGATGTATTTTTTTAAAACTCCTGTGCATGAGTAATTAATATATTTGAAAACAATATTTAATGTATTTGCGATAACTCGAAAAAAACGTCACTATTATTTGTTCTAGATTGTAAATTTGAGTAGCAGTGTCATATATTTATTTAGACTTGTTCTTAAAAAAAAAAAAAAAAAGGATTCAATTTCAATAACCCCCTTCCAATAGAAGAATTGATGGAAAATATCTGCTTTATGTATTGTGTGTGCTTTTAAAATAAACCATAAAATTTGAGTTGCAGAAAACTTTATTTAGTATTATGGGATCAACAGAAGTGTGTTTTTGCCCGATATGAGTATTTTAAAAATAAGAAATTTCACATTAATGATTTAATGTAAATTAATTTTAAAAAATTATTTCATGACACTTTATGAGTTCATCTGTAATTTTTGGGCTTACTGTTTTAGAAAATTTATTGCTCATTGTTTCCTGATATTTATTTCACAATTTATTGTATAGTGCTGCGAAAGCTCCCTTTTTAGCAAGATTTAAAGTGCGACATTGTGGCATTCACGAAATGGAAAGCAAAGTGCTAAACATGTCCAAAAATGACAATGATGTCACTCAAGAAAAAGACGAAGGAAAGGAATATTGGCAAGCTGCTATATTTAAAGTTGGTGATGATGTTAGACAGGTAAAAACCATTTTTATATTTATATCAGTCTGTTTACATTTTTAATAAAATTTTAATTTATTGTACCACTTTTTTCTTTGAAGGACATGCTTGCTCTTCAAGTAATTACTCTATTCCAAAATATATTCAAGCAAGTTGGGCTAGATTTATTTTTGTTTCCATATAGAGTAGTAGCCACAGCTCCAGGGGTAAGTGTTTAAAATAATTAATTACTTTAATTTGAATTCAAACTTGAAAGCATATCCACAATTGAAATTATTACGGTAGAGCCTTGGTTATCTGATCATCTGTTATCCAAATGATCAGATTAACTCATTAACATTTATTTAACAGATGTTGATGAAAGTCTCTAGAAAATTCTGCAATTGAGATGCAGAAATGAAGAGAAAATTCCTGGAAATCTAATTGTTTTTTTCCCTGTGTCTGTAGTTAGTAATTATATTATAGATTTATGAGGTTTCTTTCTTTTATTGCCTTTAGGTTTGGCAATAACATCTGTTTAGCTTTGTATTGTTATTAATTAGCAAAGAATTGTGCTGTTAGTTGAAGACAAGTTAACAATTATCATTTATTTTAGAAAAATTAAAAGGAAAAAAAGTGAAATAATAATTGCAAATGTAATGTGAGAAAATCAGCAGTTATAAGGTATTTGTTACAGGCATTAAATTTTTCTTCTGTTTTGTCAAAAATTATAAATCTCAAATTAAATTACTTGGTTTGCATATGCATTAAAAATATATTTCTTTCCTCTTATAAATGTGTACGTAAGAGAATAAATACTAAGTAAAAAGCATTTCAAAACCTAATCCTGTTACATGGGAATAGCAGCAACAAGTGCTGATGATAATGAAGAATAAAATTAAAAATATGTTTATTCGTCACATATATAATTTGGAATAAATCACATGCAAAATACAAAAAACCATAGGCACAGTGGCAAACTGCAAGAATGGTGTAGATGACTTGTTGATTACCAAACTGCACATATAGATTGACACAGACATGTAAATGTCTGTAAAGGGTTTGTACGGTCCTTAAGAGTCCTTAAATCTTTTGGAATCAATTTTTGGTCCTTAAAAGTCCTTAATTTTGGCCAAAATCAGTAGAAGGTCCTTAATTTTAATCATCTGAAATTTCTGTATGTTTTTACGACTGCCATTTTTAATGTGAATTAGCATTTTGGAGGAATATTTTTGCCGATTCACTGACGTATATGGTTATCTTTTGAATGGGTTCATGGGCTATAATTTGTTCTATTTCTAATATAAATGATGGGATACTCGAGTTTCTAAGCAAGAAACATGAGCATTTCGAAATTCATTTTTTGTAATAAAGAGCTCTTAAACAATTTTCGCTTCTGGCGATGAGAATTCTTTTATTAAACGATTCTAAATTTGGTGACTTGTCAACATTTTGGCGATTTTAAGATCAGTTTCTAGAGAAAATTTTTAATTCCAAAATCTGAGAAATTTTCGACGATTTTTTTTAGAACATCATACCATTAATAAATTTTATTAAAATAATGGTAATATATTGGAATTATATTTAAAACTAACATTAAAATAAAACATTTTTATTTTTTTGCTGGTCATATTATCAAGTGACATTACTTTAATTTTGGCGACGACTTATTATACAGTATTTTGAATCTGAAAGATAAACAAGGTAATAAATGCTATAAAGCACAGTTTACAAAACAAAAGTAAAGTAGCTATGTAATTACATAGCTATAATTAATTATAGCTACGTAATTACATAGCTATTTGCTATATAGCTTTAATTAATTACATAGCTATTTTGCTATGTAGCAAAAGGAAATTAGCTATGTAATTAATTAAAAAATGTCTCTACCTTTTTAATTTTTGCATAGTAAGAATTTTTCCCGTGTAATTGTCTCAAAATATTCGGAATTGTCAGAATATGCATCTGTTTTCTCTATAAAATTATTTGGTACTTTTTTCCTCCCCCCCCCCGAAATATTTCTGGCTTTTTGCTGTACAGAATTGGTTAGGATAATTTTTCTTTAGTATTTTTGACATTGCAGCTTGGAAAATTTAGAAGGATTTGAAGGCAAGTTTCGAGAAATTTGTTACTGAGCCAGATTAAATAAAAATTAAATTGTATAATTTTTTACCACTAATCCACATTTTTAGTTTGAATTTGACTATTCTTGTTTAATTACGTCAACGTGAGATGTAATTGACTTTGTTAGCATCAGAACATGCCTTTATGTTTGTTCTAAGTTCTTTTTAAATAAGAGGCTTATTTAAACCTTTGTCTGATATTGTAGTAATTTTCAGACACAGTGATAATTTGCTTCACGTCAGTCAGGGGTTTTGGACTATTTAACTTTTACCAGATCAAGTAAACCCTCATAGGTACATTGTGGAGTGGTTGACAAGTTAGGAGATAAAGTATGCAGAAACTAGTGAGAGCATTAATTTGCATATTGAGACAAATATCTAATTATTGTTAGAAAAGATGCTTAAAGAGAAGGAAATCCATATAATCTAGCCAAAATGTTTGAGAAAGCTTCAAATTAAAATGATGGATAAATATTTTGCTGAGTATCTAGCTTTTAATGTGTAATTATTCTAACATCGTTTAAGAATCAGTGTCATAAATTACATATATTTTAAACTGTGAAATTTTATTAGATTTTGATTTTAATAGTTCTTTTTTAACAAATATTGTTAAAAATTAAAATTTAATAGTAACCAGATAAATCCATAATGACTAAGGTTACCTATTTACCTAAGTTAATTATTTATAACTAACTGCTTACCCTTAAAAATCATCTCTACATATTAAAGCGAGTTATTGCCTTTCTTTAATACTCACTGTGGTCACAAGATAAAACACAAAAATGTAGAAATTAAGTAAAACTTATTCTTTGCATCAGTGAGACTTAAAAAATACAAAACATTTATCACCTCTGGGCTTATGGCTTATTGAAACCTGAAAGTATATTAACTGGGTTACAACCCCTTGAACTCGGCACAAAGCTATGACACTAACTGCATCAAACAGAGCCTGACTAACTTTCAACACTTGCCCAACCGTGCCTACATCAGGCCTTTCAGGTTTGTTCTAATCAGATTTCTCTTTAGACAAGCAGCAGCGGTGATAATATTCAGTCTTTTGTAATGAATCATGCTGATTATGATCTTACTTCTCATTTTAACATATGCCGTTTGACATAAAATCTACCTGCTATTTACTAAACCTCTAGGCCAGCGGTTCTCAACCTTTTGACTAACGTGTACCTTCCAAACAAAAGTTGAAAACCTTTAGTACTACCACTACAAAGTACTACTACAACCGCTACTCTCGAACAAAGCTCAGATTGTATAAGTTTACGAGTGTTAGAGAAAAAACTCGAATCAGGATGTTGGGGGTTTTAATTTTTGAAATAAATAGTTAAAAATACTTTGCTTCTTTGTGTATCACCTATTTTTTCCTTGCGTACCACCAGTTGAGAACCTTTGCTCTAGACTGACCATGTATGTGACAAAATGAGGCATAAAAAAAGATCAACATAAAGCTAACTATTAGTAAAACGTAAATGTCACTTATCTTCTTTCAAATGTGCCCAATCTATTATAAGTGTAATTATAACTGTAAAATATTTAATGCTACTTTATAAACTGCATGAAGTTTATTTTATTCTCAAACTTATTAATAATTATGTTAATCAATACATGTTTAGTAATAATTCATACTACTTAGGTACCTATTTCATTTTTTGGATAGTATTACAAAAGTGAAATTCAGGCATAGAATAATATTTTTTATTGAATTTATTCAGTTCTCATTTGCTCATAGGTCCTTAATTTTTTCATTAATGGCCCTTAAAAGTACTTAATTTCCATGTGCAGAAATGTGTACGAACCCTGAAAATAATGGGCTTGCAGACAAACATGGCTGAATTCAACATAATTTTTTTTTTGGGGGGGGGACGTCACGGCATTGAACTGGAAGTTGATCTGTCAGCACTATCCTTATCTTCAGGACATATGTTTTTATTTTATTTGGCTTATAATGTAGTATTTCATCTTGATGTACTCCATCTTTGATATGATTTAAATCAAATTTCTCGTCATTATAAATATCAGGAATACAAATCAAATAGTTTTCTGGTTGCAATTTTCTAATTTCGACTATGCGTAATGTATGCTTTACGCATGCGCGCGTTGAAATGTTTAATAAAGTAAACAAATAAATATTAAGCTTTTTTTTTTGTGTGTGAATTTTGATACCCTTTAGATTATAATTGCTCTTATTTCATAAATTAAGGTTTCATATTTTTAATTTTATAATTTCTGCATGTCATCTTACCAGATTTAAACTGATGATCTATAATCCGGAAAAATTGATAATCCGGAATCGCCAAAGTCCCAACGAGTCCGGATTAAAGACTTTTGACTGTATATCCTTTCTGTTAGGCTTTCAAAGTTCATTCTTCTAGCTTAAACATGCATTTTTAGTCAATGATACAATTAAAGGTTTTTCACAAAATTAGTTATTGTAATTTCTATGCAGAATGTTTTCAGCTTATATGATTTGACTAGAAAAAAATGTGAAACAGCACAGTAGAGAATTCAGACTTATCATTAGAGATCTGAATGCAAATATTTTACCAAGTAATTATGTATTTTATTGTGCATGAATGGAAATATTATGAAACAGGAATGATTCTGAACTAGTATTTGCAGTAAAAAATAAACCCTTCATATCTGATATTTAATACATTTTATTAATTTTTATTAATACCAAGAGGTATTTTATGCCAAGTTTATGTTTATTATGCCAAGATACCTTACATTGTAAACTGATGCTTGAAGAAATGAGTAACTGATAACTCTTATGCTGTCATGTACAATAATTTAAAGCATTTATTTTTTAAGCATTAATTTAAAGTGTTTCTGTTTCATTTGAGCAATATTTTTTGTTTAAATTAAATAAGATTCTTTGAAAAGTATTTATTATTGATATAGAGTGTCATGTGTATTTGAAATGTACCTGAATAAATTTTTTATATATATATTTATTTCAGTGTGGTGTTATTGAATGTGTACCAAATGCAAAATCAAGAGACACTAGGTCGTCAAACTGACTTGGATTGTATGAGTATTCCTTAAACGCTATTGTGATAGATGTCAAAACCATTCCAAAAGGTCATTTAAACAATTTTCATATAGAATTTATTCTTAATTGTTAGAGCATAAGTTTTATATATATATATATATTTCTTTGGTATATTTTAGTAAAATATGAGTATAGATTATAGTAGGCTATTGATCTAATGGTGAGCAGATATATGGTTTTTGTTTCCTTTCCCAAAATGCAAAATTTTTTAATTATAGTAATGTAACTTATATATTTACTTAAAATATATTCCCCATTTTTTTCTTTCTATACAATTTCTTATGTATTCTATAAAATTAATGTGCCATCTTTATTAAGTTCCATTGTAAAAAAAAAAAAAAAAATGTCTTTATTATAAAACCTTGAATTTGTCTTATTGTGTACTGATAAAAGTATTTTATGCAATTTTTAGGCTCGCAGAAACTTTATTAAAAGTATGGCTGCTTATAGTGTTATTGGATTTTTGCTTCAAATCAAAGATAGGCATAATGGCAATATTATGGTTGATACAGATGGCCATATTATCCATATTGGTAAGCTTTAGTATATTTATAAAATATATACCAGAGAATGTTCTTTAAGGGCCATAATGTAACTTATTATATTTTGTCGTTTGTATGATAATGCAACGTAAAAATAGATAAATTATATTTAAGCAATAATTTTACAAAAACTAAAATAGATTAATTATAAAGATAAAATTAACTATAACTTATTAAACATGCTGTTTAACTCTTTGAGAGGCAGGAAAAGACAATTAACTTTTTCAGAAAAACACTTGTTTTATTTACCATATCAGGTGTTAAATAAATTATTTACAATAAAATTATTTGCGACAGTTACACATATTTTGTTCAAGACGCGTGAAAAAAATGACCACCTCTGGTGGTTAATGTCAGTGACTACCGCCCACAGAACACATCTCTACAAATCAGTCTCTATGGTACTCATGGAAACAGGTTTTCTTTTTCAAGCAGAGTGCAACTTTGCATGTGCTGCATTCCCACACTGTTCTTACTGGCTTTTTCTTGGTGCTGCAGAGTGCACATTGTCCTGATGTTGTCGTGAAACATCAGACATCGAAGACAACATCTTGAAGATGAATTGCTGCATCAACTACTGGCTTATGTTTCTTGATTGCTATCTAGTGAGCTACAAGTGAACTTCAGAAACAGTCAGTCTTGAAAACCACTCACACGAGTGACTAAGATGTTCAATAGAAAAAGTAGTTACTGTAGGTAACCACTGCCCTTCAACGAGTTAAGTCATAACACAAGGTATAAAGGAATTAATGTTCTTGAATTATGGTAGAAAACATCTTGAATTGGAAAAAATTTAGAATTAAAATATCTGCTTCCAGCCATTAAAATTACTGCCTTGAAGAAAGCAGTGAGCAGAACCATATTTATTTTACAATTTTATGCCAGTGTTTTATTGCCATAAAATCATTTGTACCTGTCTTTCTGGAATCATTGATCAGATTTTTAATTAGTGAGAGATCTAAAGAATGCACTTGCCAAGATTCTAACATTCTTTGCACCAATAAAATGTAATGCAACATCTGGTTTTGCATTGTTCTGTTGAAAGGTGAGACAACAGTGACCTTGAAAATATGGCACACGTGCATGTATGTAAAAGTAGCTAGTAAGATAGATAAGTGAGAAACATGTGTACCTAGTGGCACTCCATACCATCAGTATAGGCAATAGGCCAGTCTGTTGAAAAGTGCAAGCTTTCAACATTGTTCTTCATGGTGATACTGATGGATTTATAGTCATCATGATGCTGTAAGGAAAAGCAGGATTTATCAAAAAAGATGTCTGCTTACTGTCCACATGAAACTCACTATCTAAATGCTGTTCTAAAAAGCCCAGTTCCCAATTATCTGTTTTTCCCCCTGTAATAAAATCATAATTTCCATGTTCATCACAATATTAAATACAAGCAACTCCATTTTCTTTGTCATTCATAGAAATATTTCCTGTAATTGAAAATTTATAATTAATTTTTACTCTTTGGTGTCTGTTTCAGCTATTTTATAGTCATTTGATTTTAAAATCACTTTCAATACATTTTAATATATGAATCAATGTTGTTGTTTTTTTTTTTTTTTTTTTTTTTTTTTTAGAAAGTTTCCATGGTTAATATATAAATATATGAACATACCGTACAATGCACAAACATATATATTTTAATTACGCTTGTGGACAAAGTACAACATGCTAGTTGCTCTTTAACAATGCACACTTCATCACATTAGGAGACAGCACACCAATACCATTCCTACTAAGGAATGATATGGTGCAACACTAATGCACATAATTAAAAATGAACGAATATATAATGAACATATTTAATATGCTTTATTTTAAAAGTAATGCAAAAATGTAATTACAACTATTTTGATTGGTTGTGTGTTTACATGTGCGCTTGTTAATTTTCTTTGTACATTAAATTTTTTAAAGCGTGCTTTTTAAGCATGCATACGTACACATGCACAGCTAAGAGGAACTCTTGTCAGAGCCCTTAAAGTCTCAATCTGCAGTACAGTCTGGCCATAATTTTCTCCAGGTCAAATTCATGGGCCTGTAAGTCACTTGCCAACTTTTGCTAAACGATGGAAAATATTAAAATGATATTTTCATATGCTTTTTAGTGTTAATTGTGTACCATACATTATTTTAAAATACCATTGAAAATATTTAAATATTTATTGGTGACTTGTTCCTAACTCAAGATACCTATCAATACCCGAGACCTTTTTTTGTTCACATAAATTTGTTCTGATGAGAGATATTCATGATTTGGGGTTCCATTGTGCTTAATATAAATATGATTCCCTCATATTAAGACTTATATAAAAAAGAATTTAGTTACACAAGCATATTAAAATCAGTACACATAAGGTCAGGTATTTAAAATTAAACATCAAAGTTCTCTGATAATGAGGAACAAAAGTTGAAAAGCTCATAGAAAAAAGTTTAATTTTATATCAAAATTTATAGTTGTCATTATGAACTTTTGGCATCCTCCTAATCATTGGCACTCAAAATTTGAGTTTTTTCTTGTTAAATATTGATCTCCTAATTTTATTTTATACTGAACGTAGTATATTGGTATTGCCATTTGTAAAAAATAATTTGTTTCTTTTGATTTTCTGCTCACCAGCGGCCAAGTGGTAAAGACGCTGAACATTGGTAGTTTGGCCGAGGTTCAAATCCCGCGAACGGGCTGGTTGCATGGGCGTTTTCGTGGTTTTCCCCATGTATAAAGTGTATATGAGCCAGTTTCCCTTAGAAAGTCCTCCACGAAGGCATCCCTTCCTTTAGGCAGATAGGCCTTGTGTGCTTTGCCATAATTACATAATCCAATCCAATCTTTTGATTTTCTTTGTAACAAAAAATATTTTGTTTCTTTTGTTATATGGTACAAATTCCTACCATGTAACGAAGTTTACCTTCACTTTTGGCACATCCATCATTAGTGATAATTCAAAGAAACTGAAGAATTAAAAATGTCTATCCAATGTGACGAGTAATACAAAAGCTACAGTCTCATAGAAATTTCAGTATTTTCTCAGAATTTGTCTTCTTTTAAACCATTGTAGAATATTGTGAAATTTTTTATAAACTGTGCACCAGCCATTAAGACATACCTAAAAGTATCCATTATTAGAATACCTTTTCAAAGAGATAAACCACTTTTTTGCATATTTTGTTTTTCTAAGGTAAGTTATAGGATTAAAGTTTTTTATTATTTTTTTAAGTGAAAAAAGGATTATTTTTGCATTTTTCAAAATATATATTAGAAACAGGTAAAATATTGAAAGGAGGATTTTTTTTTTTTAAATCACAATTGTGTATTCCTGAATTAATTTAATATTTCTTCGCTTTAAAATGTGTGTGACTTTGTCCTTAATTTCAGTAACTTAAATCAGGTATTTTTTAATGAAAATTTATTGGATATTCTATTTTATCTTGCTCATGTTATATATTTATTTACTGCACAGATTTTGGATTTATGTTTGAGAGTTCTCCAGGAGGAAATCTTGGTTTTGAACCTGATATTAAACTTACAGATGAAATGGTAATGATAATGGGTGGCAAAATGGAAGCACCACCTTTTCGATGGTTTATGGAATTGTGTGTTCAGGCTTATTTAGCTGTAAGGTAAGTCATTTAAAAAAAATCCTGAAGTAAAAGGTAAAGACTCTCTTTATTTTTTAAATATGCATTTACGTAAAAATATTTATGCATTTGCATTTTCTTAAAACAGAAATATTTTTAATGACTATCTAGAACAAATTTGTAGAGATGACAACCTTTGAGGATGACTGTAAGTGATACTTAAATGAGTTAGGAACACAATATTCAAGCATTCGGCCAAATAAAAGAAAAAGATTCAACAATATAAACTGTAAATCATATATCACTTAGTGGATATCAATGGTAAATTGGGTGCAGACTGAGTTGAATACTGTAATTAACTAGATAAACTTTAAACAGCTGTGTTATTAAGTACAGTTATAATTATTCAAACTATTATATAATTATTTTTTTAATGAAACTATGAATTGAATTTCATGAATAAATTTTCCTTAAATCGATTAGATTAGATTGGGGGGGGGGGAATTGGGGAAGACTGAATCTGAAGAGGAAGGATAAACCTAATCTTTTCATATGAGTATACAGATATTCCTTTGACATAAATTGTTGGAAGTAAATATTTGTTGCACTCAATTCTCTTTCATGTGTTTTAAAACAATGACTCTTCATAACAAAATAATAGAGGTATCCATCGAAATGTTTACATATATATATATATATATATATATATAATATATATATATATATATATACATACAATACATTTAAATGGCTACTACTGTTAATCTGTTTGGCATGAATTCTGTGTTTTGAATGTCAGCACTGGCTTTTTAAAGATATGTAGACTAAACCATTGAGACTCTACTTTCATTAAGCTAGCAGCAGAATCCATTATCTGTGGAAATTTGAAACAAGGCAGTGCTTTTTAATTTTGCAAGCAGATATTGTTTGAGTCTTCTTCCACCAACTGGGAGAAAGTTTAAGCATATAAGTCACTTTTAACCCTCTGAATAGCATGATTATATAGTGCATTTTTTGCTCCGTCCATATATGGCCCTGCCATCACATCCTTGTAATGGTAAAAACTTCTTCTGTCAGAATACTGAGAGAGAATGACGTGGATGCTGGAGTAAATATGAGTGTTGGAAGCTACCAGCAGGTAACTAAAAATTCTTTCATTTTGATCTGCAGTTTAGTTACATGAGTTGGCATTTAACTTCTTATGTAAAAATCCTTCCAATTAAGCTTAATTTTATTCATCGTCTAAAAAATAAATGTGTGTATTCAATTCTGTAGTGATTATTCTAATCTAAGAAGATGATACCACATATATATGGACTAGAAAATTTTTTGTGCTGTCTAAGAAAGTATATATGTGCATTCCTTAGTGAAAACCTTGTGCTCAGAAAGTTAAGAAGTCCATGTACAAGGATTCCTCTGTGGCAACTAGAATAATTTATGTTAAGAAATTTTGCAGCATGCACTAGCCACTACTTAAAATTTTTATATGCTTATATGCTTTCCTGACCCCTATATTAGGTCTTTTTTTGTTTGTTCTTACTACTATAAATCATATGTAGGAAAATATATCTTATTAAAAATAAAGCACAAAAAATTTATTCCCTTGTAACAAAAATTCATAAAGCTATTTAATTTCAAAATTTGCAATTTTTTATGTTTTCTTCAATTTGCATTGAGGCGCTGATAAATAAATCAATTGTAATTCAAGATTAATTTCCCCCCCCTTATTATGTTATTCAATGAAATTCTTTTTTGTTTTGTTACATTTGGTATGTTGAAAGATTATTATGTAAATAATTCATAAATTTTCAAACTCCAAAAATATATTATTAATATTCTCCTGAAATATTTTTACTTTAGAATTCTAGTCGAATAATCATACAAAAAATTCATTAAAATACAGATATTTTTCTGTACTTGCGTGTTATTGCAACCATCTTAGTAGAAGATTCTATATTTTCAGAATGTGCCAAACTTTGGCAACCATTTACGTAGACATTCTTCAGGCAACCACATTCATAGTAGTCCTTCAGTCAAGCAATGTTGCCAGTTTGGTAACTTTTTTTGTCATGTTCCAACGGTTTTTATAAATAAATGTCTATATTTTTGCCTTAATTTTAAAATAATGCATTTGTAAATTTTGCATTTGTAAAAAGTTCTGCAAGGTAAAAAACTGAAGTAAAATTTCTGCAGGAATACATAATTTTGCCACAAAATTCATAAAGAGAATTATGAGGATGTACATCTGGTAGATACCCAGTATTGCCAAGTCTGCATTTCTCTCTCTCTCTCTTTTTTTTTTTAAGTAGAAACAGATCGTTGTATGCTGTGTACTTGGGGAGTAGATAGTGCAAAAAAATTAAAGAAAGATTAGGTAAAGAATGTGTTTTATTTTTAATGCAAATATTGATAGTTTGGAAATATTTCTAAAAACATTAATGAAAACCACCAACTTGCATCCAATAAGTAACTTTTACCTTTTCATTTGTAAAGTATTGCCAAATTGCACTGAGATGCTTTCATTAATATGCAAGTACTTATTTTACATTTTTAATTAATGCAGCTATTATGAGTTGGCCATGTGCCAATACTTAAGTCTGTCAGTGTTTTTTAAAACAAGAATTTTCTACAACTCTGTTAATATCTTCTTTATGAAAAAAATCATATTGATCAATACTTTTCATCACAATATGCATAACGTGTTCAGTACTTAATCTCTTAATGTCAGTATTTTTAGTTGTATTAAAAAATGTAAACATTTTGTTCTTCAGTTTGTGTGTAGTCCCTGAATATGATCGTTTTCTCAGTTTCTCAGTTAAATGTCTCAGTTAACTTTTGCTGCACTGGAGTCACATTCAAAAAATTTGCTTTAAATAATGAGTATAAAATATTCCTAAATATGAGTATATAGACCAGAGGAACATATAAAAAATTAGATTTTGCAATTTTTACAAGACTGAACCCTTGAAATTTAAAAATGCCAAAACATGAATGTTTGCATTGTTAAAAACATTTTTTAGAAGTATATGTCTATGACAAATGGTTGCAAAAATAAAGGCCAGGTAAGGACTGAAGTGGACACACTGTATATGCTTGTTGAAAAGTTTTATGTAGTATTTTTTGGCTTGTGAGTAAATTATACTGGTTTCACTATATTAATATAATATAATTTTCAATATAATAATTCACATATAATTTTCAATTTATAAAGCAGTAACTCTCTTTAGTGGTTGTGCGATTAAGCAATTCTTTCTTCCCAAATACATGCAATGTCTGAGCTGAGTTTGTTGGTCTATCTAAAGGTTAAAAAAAAACAATCATAATTTTCAGCTAATTTTCACATAAATAAAATTAACAAAATGTATTTGCTTAATTTAGCTCCTAAAAGGAGCTGAATTAAGCAAATACATTTTGTTGGAAAAATACTTACAAATTAAATATAATTTTTTTTAAAAAAAAGGCATAAATGTTATTTTTATTTGTAAAGTGCAGTTACTTTAAATATTTATGTTGAATAAAAGTATCTAAAAAATTGGCCAAAATTTAAAACTGAGAACTAATTTTAAATATATAAGTACTATATATATAATATTGAGAAATTCTAAAACAGACATCTCTTCAAGAAGTTTTATTTTATTTATCATTTCTGTTACATCATTTTACTCCTTACAGAAAAAATACTTTTGTCAGGTTCTGTCGAGGTGCATAGGGTGTTTCTCTAAATTTAATGTTCATCTACTGGTTAAAAAATCGTTATCTCTTCAAGAAAAACAATTAACATATTATCGAATATTTTAGAATTTGTTACATATATATATGAGTACTTGTCTTTCATAGTAGCCTTGGTAAGAGGGAATGATGTTGGTGCAATTTCAACTTTTGGAAGAAAATGCACTTCCCAAATGTTATAAAACATCTGTGAAAACAAAAATGGTTACGATAAATGACAAATCAGTAATTCTTTCAATATTTATGCAACACAGATTATTTAATGTGAGTCTATAGAAAGAAATTAACATAAATTTGTATTTGTTATAGTAATTTAATACAATTTTGTCCACAGTTTATTTAAAATAGCAACATCTATAAACATGCCAGAAATTTCTGTTTCTGCAACTGCTGCTAATAACGCCTCATATATCAACTATAGCTTCTTTTCCATTGATAGAACACAGAAAATAGTATGCCTAATGAGCATTTTGTGATTAAAAGCCACTATACTGACACAGTTGCAATTATGGAAAACCAGTTGGATAGTTAATCGCTTGTTTTTGCACAGGCACAGATCGGTAACTATTTCTTTTTTCCGCTAATGCAGAAATGTGCAGAGTCGACTTTCTTGCCAAACCACTACAGAAGACAAGTACCTATCTATGGATATGTATAAAATATTCTTAACAATTAATTAATTATGCAAAAAAATATTCTTGACACAGTTAGGATAAAAAACATAGAAGCTACATCTTTAACATGTTGATGGCAGTGCGAATATTCATTGTTCTTTTCATGTGGCGATGCTTGAATTAGCAGGCCATTTTGTGAATCCCCATAGTGAAGTATAAAATTAACACAAAAAGAAAAAAAAAAAGAAATTAATTCGTAGGAAGGAGCCGCAAGGAAGACGAGAAAGCGATGCTATAACCGCTTAGCAAGCCACACAAGTACTCAGTAAGCCGTGAATAGAACAAAGAAAGTAATAACATATTATGATAATTGTACGGGCAATTTGTTTTAGCTTGCTTTAAAAAATTGCATAGAAAAAATTAATAATTATATTTAAGTTACATTTAAAGTTATTTATTTCGTATTTAATGTTTGATTATAATATTGAAATGTTAATTTATACTGTTGAATAATTAAATTAAAAATTTTACTGCCTATTTTTGGATATACAAATGTGATCCATCAGTGAGTTATACTGACCTGCGCAACAATCAAGGTGGGTCATGCCACCTCACAGAACAGACAAGTATGACCCACCAGTGTGTCAGGCTGACATCAACGTGTTAAAGCAGGTAGTAATCACCACCCAAATCTGTCAATGTTTTGGTAGTTTTTCTAAGCCTTCGGCCCAGAAACTTGGTGGCCACATGTCCTGAAACAAAGGACAATAGCACCAGCAACATGTAACTGCAGGTTTGGAAAAAAGGTAGAAGTCTAAAAAGCGATGGCATGGCTAATATGGTGGCTGTGGCAAAAGATCCCCTTTGAGTCCAGTGAATGCAGACACGTTTAGTTTTATGTCCATTATCTTGATGGAACATTACCTTTTTGCGATGGAACTCAGTTCCTCAGTTCGATGTTTTTTCTTCATAGCAGTGTCAACACAGACTAGTATCTCGCTTTACACAATTACTGTCAAGGGTTTTACCTTTTTTCAGATATTTTTTGTGCATAATACCACAGTAATCCTGCCAAATACACTGACTACCAATAAGTATTTGGACACCTATGCAAATGACGATATCTGCGGCCCCAAGGTACGCCACGGACTCCGCCGGTATATATATCATGTAGGAAACAGCATCGGCTTTAGTCGCATGCAAGATGCCTCGCAGTTTGGTGCTCTCTGATTTCGAGAAAGGTATAATTATTGGGTATCACAAAAGTGGCCGATCCTTAAGGGACATATCTAGCGATCTGAAGTACCCAATATCGACAGTGGCCTATGTGATTAAGAAGTGGAAGGTGAGCGGTGATTGTTGGAATGTGCCCGAGTCGGCAGACCAACGAAACTGGGGAATAGAGACCGACGAGTGCTGTTCAGAGAAATTAGGAAGAACCGCACCAAACTGATAGCCCTCATCCGCGAGGAGTTTCAACAGGCATCCGGGCGTATTGTTTAAATGAATACCATCCATAAGGAAGCACAACTGCTTGGTTTTCATGGTCGTGCTGCTGCCCATAAGCCTTTGATCACAAAGTCCAACCGTGCTGCTCGGTTAATGTGGTGCAAAGCACATCGAAATTGGATCGTAGATGAGTGGAAACGGATTTTTTGGAGTGACGAATCAAGGTTCACCCTTCACCGTTCGGATGGCAGGGTCTGGGTGTGGCATCTACCTGGAGAACGTCTTCTACCAGAATGCATTGTGCCAACAGTCAAGTTCGGCGGAGGTGGAATTATTGTCTGGGGGTGTTTCTCCCGGTACCCTTGGTCCCCATTCATGGTAAGCTCAACTCCGATGCCTACTGCACTATTTTGGATGACAATGTGCTTCCTACGTTGTGGCAGTTTTACTCGTTGAACCCCTGTTACTTTCAGGACGACAATGCCAGTTGTCATGTTTCGACGTTAACCAAGGCTTGGTATGGTGCCAATGGAGTTCGTCGAATGGACTGGCCTGCCCAGAGTCCAGACCTGAACCCTATCTAGAACCTCTGGGATGAGTTGCATCGCCAAATTCAGGGTTGCAAAATCGGTGAAAGAACTTCTATGTCTTCTTCAAGTCGAGTGGAAGAAAAATACCACTAGCTGTCATACAAAGACTTGTGGAAAAAAGTATGTCCCGGAGTAATTACCTCTCGTAAAGGCTCTACCAACTATTGATTTTGAATAAAGTTAGTTTTTCTTTTCTATCACAGGTGTCCAAATACTTATTGGTAGTCAGTGTACAAAGTATGATCTCTTTGTTAGCCAAACTGCATTTTGCGCTACTGCAGACAAGCTCACCAGGGGCAGACTCAAGCAGATTATTGCAGGCCTGAACATGTCTATCTTTATCTACTTAAGTCAGCTCGTGCAGTACCCAGCGATTGAACTTGTACATCAAAGTTTATGCAATGTATAGTATGACTAATGGACCACTAAGGTCTAACTCCTTAGCAAGCTCTTGAGTGGTTACATACTGATTTTCCACAAGTTCTCATGCGCCTGTTCAACATCAGTAGGTCGGCCAAAGCACTGTGCTTCTTGAATGTGATAGTCCTTGTTTTTGAACTTTTGGTACCAACCTTCACGTTGTCATATGATACAAAATTAGTACCTAAAGCTATACACATAATTTGGTGGCATTCTATAGCTAACTTTTTGCAGCAGAACTGGAAATGAATGATGGTTCTAATCTGGTAGCGTGATAGTTCAATTTCAGACACCTTGTGATAATGATATTTTTTTACAAAACAAAATTAGTACCTAAAGCTATACACATAATTTGGTGGCATTCTATAGCTAACTTTTTGCAGCAGAACTGGAAATGAATGATGGTTCTAATCTGGTAGCGTGATAGTTCAATTTCAGACACCTTGTGATAATGATATTTTTTTACAAATTTCGCAACACAGTATTCTAAAACAAGTCTTCAGAAATCATTTGACAAAATATGATTAAACATGCCAATGTGAGCTGTTTGCACAGATGATATTTGCAGTGGCGGGAAACTTTTGTTAAAACCTGATATTCATAAATATTGTATTAAATAATTAAAATCTATGTGTGCTCCAACACACAGCATCTTAGCATTTTGTGCAACCACAGAGAACAAATTATGTGCAGGGAATTTTATGTTTTGTTAAAGAAAACTACAGTGGAGACCATTGTTATACTAACATTAAAAAAACATTTGAATATAATACTTTGAATAAGTTGCATTAGTAGTTTATTATGGTTAATTAGTTAATTTTATTATGGTTCAAATTATGTTTATTTATAATATATGGATATTTAATTATTTACAGGCCTTACAGAGAAGCAATAGTTTCTTTAGTCACTTTGATGCTTGATACAGGCTTACCTTGCTTTAGAGGTCAAACAATCAAACTTTTAAGATCCCGTTTTGCACCAACTGCAAGTGAGAAAGAAGCAGCAGCATATATGCTGAAAATTATCAGAGACTCTTGCTTGAATTTCCGTACAAAAACGTATGATATGATCCAGTATTATCAAAACCAAATTCCATACTGAAATCAGAATCATGTAATATTACACTTTATGTTTGTATATTAATAGTATATAATATGTTTATTGTATTATAGTTTAAATATGTTCCAATTAAAGTAACTTAAACATTATTTTTATTTTATTTAGACCTTAAATGAAACTTAAAAATTTTCCATTTGTATGCATTTAAGTTAATAAAACTAAAAATAGAACATCAGATTTAAACAAGTGTATTTACACACTCAAAATATAATTCATGTTCATGGTTATCCTATCAAGCTATTGATGATTATTACACAAGTAAAACCCTTTTGGTAACATAACATATGGAAGTATAATGTCTGAAATAAAACAAATAGGATTGAGCAATTGTTTTACTCAAGAAATCATTTAGATATTTTGAATGAATTAATTAATTCTAAATATGTATATTACAAGTGGTAGAACCACAGATGTTGCGTTAGTGAAATACAAATCAACAAAATAATATGTGATATTGCTGTTGTCCGGAAAAGCAATTTTTATCTATTCATTTATTTAGTAACCAATATCTCAAAATCTTACTAGCAACTCATTCGAGAGGTAGATCAGAAATGACTTTTAAGTTTATATTATTAATTAAAATGGTTAACGGTGAAACTGAACCTAGCTTTCTGAAATAAATCCCACAACAAAATTAAGACATGCTAATTTGAATGCGGAAAGAAAAGTTAAAAATAAATACTTTGCATGAATTCAAACTAAAATTACAAATAAAGAATCTATAAACATTTAAATGTTAGCATATCTAAAGCCTATCATCTACAAAATCAGAGTTGCTCTCAAACAGGGGGAATGAGATTTTCTGACTTTTCCAGGTTTAAGAAAATTCTAGTCTAACCACATAGTGCACTTTGGCTGTGCTGAGGATACATTAATTATGGTACTACTTGAAAACACAAAAATTTGCTAATTACATATATGACTTTGACATAAAACTTACTTTTGAATCTTCAAAGCACTAAGGAGAAGTACTACTAATAACAGTACTTCTCCTTGGTAACTTTCAAATTAAGTTTTTGCCAAACTAAGAAAACTTGCTATATAATATTTACATACGAAATCAACATTCTCTTCAATCAATTGTATCACAAAATTAGAAATATCTGCAGTCACTGAAACACATTTATAATAAAATGTAGGCAAAATTATGACTTAAAAACTAATGCATAAAAATATACATTCACAAAAAAAAATTAAATATTTACAATTCATTCCATCTAAGCAGTAAACAAAATCAGAAATTAAATTCATAGATTTTTCAATTCTATGTATAAATATTTAAACACTGGATTTTTTCTACCATTAATTGTGATAAAATTATATTTTGTTTATGTTAAAAGCTCTATTGTTTTAGAAAGTATTACAAACAAATTCTGGAATCGAAGTTATTGTTTACAAAATGGCAACAGGGAAGCAGTTATATCTATCCTATTAAATAATGTATAACTGCTGAACACTCACCTCTGTACTAAAGATGACAGTTACTAAATTCTGAAAGGTTAAAAAAGCAGAGAATTTTTGGTAAAAGTTTACTATCGGGTAATCTTTGATATTTTTGGCAATTTTTTTTATGATAAGAATGGCACCAAGAAGTAATGTTTCCAAGATGGTTGTTACCTAAAACAGTGTGGAAAACATATACTTCAAAACAAGTAAAAGCACTCATCTCATTCGTTCTTGGCTGCACAAATTGCATAAAACAGGAGTCGAAAATGTCATCCGATGAACTGCCAAAGACTCCACTTGATCTGGCTCCATATACCACAATGCTGTTGGTATGGGCAGTTTCGAGGTCTTTGTTAGCCACAGAACAATTCACTGCTAAATGCTGGAAGTCTTGATTACTAATGCAATCACAGGCTTTCCAGCAGTCCAAGATTATCATAGTTTCAGGTATGATTTTTTGAGAAATCTCCTCCAACAAAGTCTCTTTCGCGTGATCTTTCACTACCTCTTTCAATTCCACCGAACAAACACTTTCCACTCACCCTTCAACCCTAACTATACTTGCTTTTGCCAAAATCAGTCTTCACAAACAATCATTTCCCTCTTTTTACACATACATCCTCCATACACACTTCTCTGCAAAAATTCCTCCAGTCAACCACAGTTTTTTTTATTCAGGCATTCAGCTAATTCATAAGCAGATTTGTTCCAGCTTCATATAACCACAAATAAGTAAAAAATAAAATATCAGTTATACTTATCTCGCTTTTTTCAAACCAGGGCTTTTACAATGATGAATACTTTCACCTTTCTCAGCGCAGACTCACTGATAGCCATCCCATTGATCCTTTTCTTCAGCCATTTTTCTCCTTTGATTCAGAATCATAAACAAAATGGTGAGATTGGGGCTCAGTGATGTCATAAATGGGTGGCACTAAGCTTTTGATGTCACAATCTATTTTGGCATTACACCACATGTATTTTTAAGATATTTTAAGCTTTAACATTTATACAATTTTTAAAAAATTTAAATTCGTATTATTGAATACTCAATAGGATAGTTTTCACAAATCACTTCATTGCTACATAACATCACGTACTAATATGTTGATAACCTTCATTACTTTAAAAAAATTTTTACACTTTAGTATTAATAAAAAATATTTTATGGCAAAAGAATATCATACACAGCTTTCATATCACTATTTCTTAAACTCATATATCTCTACATAATATCATACACAGCTTTCATATCACTGTTTCTTAAACTCGTATATTTCTACATATGAAAATAATAAGGTAAAAGTGGCTAATCAGGTCTAAGTTTCCAGTTTTTCTACTGTTTTTAAGAAGATCGTCGAACTATCGATATTTTTCACAAGTCTTAAAACATTATCAACATTTCAAAAGAAAACAATTAAAAATACAATGTAAATATAAAAAAATGATGACTAAAATATAATTTACAGTTAAAACAACAATGCAAATTTAAAATATGCAAACAATATATTAAACACTGTATGTAATACTTGATAAATTACTATTGTTCTCGCCATATACACCGATCTGTTTTCACTTGAAAAAAAGAGAATTGCACAAACTCAGCACTGCACATATACACAATGATCTGTTTTCACTTTAAAAAAAAAATCAGAAAATTGCATAAACTCGGCATCACACACAACCAAGCCCAGTTAAAAAAATGACCCAACTATGAAGATAAAGCTACCATAATAATGTCATTACCTAAGAACGAAATCGCCAAATTTGGCTTGCACCCAATATTTCACTTTAGCCAATAATAATAAATGAAACTTACCTTCTATTCTCTCTTTTTGTAGAACGTATTGTTGACATCTCAAATATCTTCACACGAAACCTTTTGAAAAGACTAATTTGATGCCTCCATTTGTCTCCTGTAAATCTACACATCCACTTAGAACCATCTATACAGTTCTTTCTCTTCCACGTTCATATTCTTTTCACAAATTTGACATTTTATATGACCCTGCAATCAACATTTTCTCCATACACCCCTCAAACATGCTTTTAAACATTTCGGTCCAATTGGTTAAAAAAATCTAAATTCAGATTTCACACATACTGCAGGAAGTACTAACAGGAGGTAGCTAGAGGGGGCAAGGGGGGCATATGTCCCCGGGCACAGAATCCAAGGGGTGCCAAACTGATATTACAACATTTTAGAATTAAATATTTTCCATCCTTGGCAAGCAGTTACGGGGGCGCAAAATCTTCAGTTGTCCCTGGGCGCTGAAAACCCTAGCTACAACTCTGAGTACTAATATCAGTGATCAAAATGTTCTGAGCAAAAGAATTATTTTCTGTTTTTGAGCAGTTACAGTTATAAAGTTAAAATCATTCAATATTTTCAATAAGTTTAAATATTCGTTTGGTAAATCTTAATAATATTTTTTTTTTTTTTTTTTTTGTCTTGATTTGTGCAGTCTTCTATAATTGAGCCCACTAGTGCAACCGAACATAATCCAGTTCTACTTACGAAATGTAAGATACAAGAAGGACGTATGATGTTTCTGTAAAATGACAACATGTCATTTACATTATACATATATAGTAAATAATTCATTAGTTATTAAATATGTGTCATGCATAGTGTTATAAGTACTTACTTGCCCATCGTAGAGTTTCATAATTTTGAGAGCTCAACAGTCGATTGAATAATAGCTTCTGGAAACAGCAGTTTCGAATCCACAGTGCTTCTGTGTTTGCGTGGATCGCATTAAGAAATGATGGTTAATTGTTTTTATTCATCTGAAATGTATAAAATGCAATAAATACGAGACTGAAATACTTCTGGAATAGGTGAATATGGTACTCAATCGATTCTCCCCAATCAAATGAATTATTATCTAAACATAAAATGCAAGGAAAAGAAGGTGAGGATACTTTCTAGTAATTAAAATCTGTGTTCTAAATGTAATATTGAATGCTGCTTAACTAGAAAATGCTATTAATAATACAAATGATATTGCATAAAATAAATCAGTTCTTTAAAAGGTTGTAAAGCTTTAAGAGAATTTCACGAAAAGTTTCATTTATAAAAAATAAAGCTGGATAAAGATAACTGTAAATTCGTTAAGCATAATTCTACTATGGTTGATGATGATGAAAGTAAAGACACTAATGCAACAACCACTGCTGTTGTCAGGGTAAGTGTCAAAGTTCCTTTGTTTTGGAAACTAGATTTGAAAATATTGTTCCTTCAACTAGAAGCACAATTCAGAAATATAAAAATAACTATAGGCCAAACAAAGTATGATTATGTGATATGTTCCACTAAACCTGTATTTTGTATCAAATATCTGATACTTTGCTTAGTCTGCCACAAGATGGCAAATATAAGGCAATTAAGGACAGATTAATTTCATTATGTGCAGATTCCAAAACCCAGAAGTTAAGTCAGTGAACTAGAACTGGGTGATAAAAAGCTGTTCATCTCAGCTGCTGTGTAAAATGTGCCAATCTGGCAGGCAACAGAGTAGCAAATACTCTCCTTAATACATTGTGGCTCCAGCATCTACCTGTTAATATACACATCTAGCTGTTAAGATTTTTTGAAGGTGGCGATGATGGCTAATAAGGTTTGGGAATTTAATCCTATTAC